TGACCTTCAATCGAGCAAGGAAAAGGCGGCGACATTCGGCAGCTAGGAAAGTAGGATCAGAGTCGGTATACTTGGGGTCACGCAACGTGGTGGTGTCCATGGGATCGAACTGGATAGGTGCCAACTCGTACTTGGTCAATTGGGCTTCCAAGGATGGGATGTAGTCTATGTGGACGAGAAGGCCACAAACATGACGGTCGGGGAAATGGATATCCAAGATCCGCTTGTTGTGGATGCCCATAGCATGGAAGTTATCCCTCATTTGGCTAATGGGCGAAGGGCTACGGTTGGGAATGTAGACAAATCGGTAACCATGGTTGGGTGACACGACCGAAAATTGACGAGCAGCAGCAAGACCGGCATCGTTAACATTAAGGTTGAGAGGTTGAAGCCTCTTTCGAGGTATGGTTTTAGCTTTGGGACGTTTGACGGCAGCAGGGTCCGCTTGTTTCTTGGCGACGTCGGCAAAAGAAGGTTGGGCCACAGTAGTTGAAGGAGGTGAGGCAGCAGTCGATTCAGGGGCAGGGAAGGTCTGCGGAGCTTGCTGTGATTCAAGTTGACGAATCCGTTGCTGAGCATCCTCTAATTGTTTTTTGGTGAGATCCAAGGAGGAACGAAGGACCATGTTCTCCTGGATGAGAGCTTGCATCTCAGAGATTTGGGATGCTTGACTATCGAGGCGGGCGTAAATGTCCTTGAGATAGTCAGGGAGATTGGGGACGGAGTGAATGTTGAGGTCACTCAGTGAAAGAGGGGAAGGCTGAGCAGGGATCGTCGTGGTTGAAGCTACGTTGGGCACGGCTACGGGAGGAATAGCGTTGGCAGCAGGTGGTAGGGTGTTCTCGGCCATGGCTTTGGTGATGGAACGGGTGAGTCGGGTTGTAGCTGTTAACTTGGGACGAAGGCTAACAGATGAGGGAAGAGGGGTAAGTGTTTGTCTAGCTAACGTGGAGAGTCGACGTTTAGTAGAGACAGACGGGATGGTAGACGTTGTAAGGCGATTCTTAGTGGTTGTAGAGACTGGCTTGGATGGAGGAGTGGGTGTTTTACTGCTTGGATTTGTTGGGATTTTCACTTTATTTACTTCTGTTGTTATTATTTGTTTTATCGCGTTAATAGTGTTGTTTTCGGGGTTTGAAAGGCCCTAAAAACAATTTAGACGAAAGAAAGGTGTGTATTAGGAAGTACACGCTGATCATCACATTTATGTAGTCGAATCTTATAAAGTAGGTCGAATCAAATTCAAAAATTTGATAGATTAACAAATCAGAGAAAACAAAATAGGCGGACATTCAATATATAGGCTGTTGACAACATCTATCATTATGACAATCAAGGCTTTCCCTTGTGAATGGAAGGGATATTGCAAACGTACTATTGGGTAGCCTATTCAGTTTTTTTAGTAAGATTGCAAGACATTGTATGTGGTCAGTCTACTGTGGCAAATCGCGAAATTGATTACGAATCTAAATGCAAAACGTAGTATAATATATGCAAATCCAGGAAAAGGATTGCCGTGAGCAGCTAAATGGTTAGGATCATTTGAATCGTAAGGTTTTGTCACTGCCCATGAAAGATTAAAAACATGCTTACAATTATATGACAGCTATATCATATTATAATAAATGTTCAGTCCGTAGACACTTTCAAAGCCTCAAAAAAGAAAGAAGTCGATCTAGAAGGTATTTTGAGAGATTGGCTTTATTAAATATAGAATGCAAGGAAAATAGCATTGATAACGATAGTGCTATGTAATTTGCCACCTAATTTCTATACGCTTCAAAAGCATCTATTACTTTATTGCCTTCTAATGGAAAGGGCATTGAGTCTGCCAGTTGGCCCCACCAGCCGCCAAAATTGTTCCAAACCCAGAACATTTTATCTGTTCAAGATTGGACAGATCTTGCCTTTTTTCGACTTGATCAAACTCTTTTGAGGGATTCGACTATACAAGTTGTGATGATTGTCCTTTGCATCCTAATACAGTCCCTGGTGGTAGGGCGAAGTGGTAAAACTCCCGTATGCCAACGGGAGGATCCCGGTTCAAATCCTGGTGAACGCAAGTTGTTTGATTTTTTTGACGTAGTACTGATGTCCTCGTTTGGTGTTTTGTGCTCTTATCCATGATCTTTATTTTGACGATTTTCCGCAAGACTGTACTGGCTCTAGGAGTCGCACCTTATTAGTAGTAGATTTCTTTCCCAACTTAAATTCAAAAAATATCTTATTCCCCTTCATTGCAGACATTGGGTCCACCAACAGTCTTTTCTATCCCTCAGCATGACATTTAAAGGACTTTAAATAAAACCTGGAGCTCGACTCCCCTACAAAAAAAAAAAAATTGCATCCTAATACAATCTCGAAGTACTTTTCAAGGCGCTTCCAATGGTACCAAGTAAGATAGATGTTTCAAATAAGCTTATTGAGTAATTTATAAAAATATGAAAAGAGGTTTCTGGCCAAAAAGCCGAGATTTTCCATATCGAGATCTCACAAAGATGATTTCAGGGGTTGCTTTGGATCTATAGTATCATTTTGATTCAATATCATAACATAATAAATGTTCAGTACTTTTGCACTTTACAATCCTAATATGGAACCTGAGTTTCAAGGCATCTATCAGACCTGGCTCATATGAGAATAATGATTTTACAATCAATCAACAAAAACCACTGTAATTTCTACCCTCTTTCCTCTGCTCAATGCTGTCAATGTTTTATTTGAGCGACGTCTCAGAGCCTCAGAGATTTCATTACTTACTGCAGACATTTTATGCAACCCATGCATTGTCAATGTCCAGACTAACGTTATTAAATATAGAATGCAAGACGATGTCATTATAAACAATAGTGCTATGACCTTCTACCTACTTTCTATACGCTTCGAGGGCATTTACTACTGTATTGCCTTATGAAAAGGGCATGAGTTTTCCAGCTGGCCCCACCAGCCAAAATTAATTCAAACCCAGAATCATAGTCTGTTCCAGATTGGACATATTTTGATAATTTTGGACTCGATCGAGCTATTTTTGCAGATTCGACTAAGTGAAGTATGATAATCACCCCATGCTTCCTTAAGCTTTCCTGGAGTACTTTTCAAGGCGCTTCCAATGGTACTAAGTAAAATAGATGTTTTGAATACACTTATTAAATGATTTGTAAAAATATGAAAAGAGGTTTATGGCCAAAATGTCGAAATTTTACATATCAAAGTCCCACAAAGATAATTTCAGAGGTTGCTTTGGATTGATAGAAACATTTTGATTCAAGATATACCATAGTAAAAGTCTCCATTATCAAGATGAAAAATGCGATCGTTTGATTTTCGATGAAAACCATGAGGGATACCTCATGCTTTTTGGTCGATTTTTGACCATGTTTTTTTGGTCCCCAAAAAGTCGAGCAAAAGTGTCAGAAAGTAACTGCCAGATGAAAGCAACCATTTGGGGCTATTCTGACGATCTAAAACGGCCTTGAACGCAAGAAAATTCAGCTCAAATGCATTCAAATTTTGCTGTATTAGGGACACTAAGGACTAAAAAGTGGGAATACCAGTATGCTGCTTGCCCGTATATGAAGTAGCTACGTGTATATGGATGTAGAACATCACATAAGAATCAGATCCACAGATAATATGAAGGGTTACTATGTGTAAGTGGAGGGTCAAAATGAAAGTAGCAGTATTTTGATAAAATACGCAAGAGCAATCAGTAGCACGAGCTGCCGCTGCGCAGGTTGGTTCTCTACCTTCGCTACGCTTCGGTGAGAACCATCCGAAGCATAAACACTCATATGATTAGTGATTATATATCAATCAACAATCAGGGTTCCTCTTCTAACATTTTAGCTATATTAATTTTGGGATATTAGCCAAAGGCCCGCGGCAGCGCGAGCCGTTTGAACGTAGGTTGGTTTCCACCGAAGCGAAGTGTAGGTCAGGAAACCACCCGAAGTGCTGAAAGGCTCGTATAACATAGTAAAAGTCTTCATTATCAAGGTGAAAAACGCGATCGTTTGATTTTCGATGAAAACCATGAGGAGTACCTCATGCTTTTTGGTCAATTTTTGACCTTATTTTTTTGATTCCCAAAAAGTTGAGCAAACGGGTCAGAAAGTAGCTACTAGATAAGAGCAATTGTTTGATGCTATTTTGGCAATCTAAAATGGCCTTGAGCACGAGAAAATGCAGCTCAAATGTACTCAGATTTTGCTGAATCAGGAACACTAAGGACTAGAAAGGGGAAATGCCAGTATGATACTTGCCCTTATATGAAGTAGCTATGTGTGAATGGATGTAGAGCATCACATAAGAAGGTTTTTTTATGTGTAGGTGAAGGGTAAAAATGAAAGTAGCAGTATTTTGATAAGATACGCAAGGGCAATCGGTAACACGAGCTGCCGCTGCGCAGGTGGGTTCTCACCGAAGCGAAGCGAAGGTAAAGAACCATCCGAAGCATAAACACTCATATGATTAGCGATTTTATATCAATCTACAATAAGGGTTCTTCTAGCATTTTAGCTATATTAATTTTGCAATATTAGCCAAAGGCCCCCAGCAGCGCGAGCCGTTTGAACGTAGGTTGGTTTCCACCGAAGCGAAGTGTAGATCAGGAAACTACCCGAAGTGTCGAAAGGCTTGTATTCCATAATGAAAATAACCTATTTGCCCTATGCCAATGGTGTTTGGTACGTGTGTACCTGAATCCACTTTTAAAGCACTGATAAATGTCTATGAGGTGCAGAAAGATCGGTACGTATTGGTGGCACATGCACTTGGCAGGCCCAACACAATCCGAAACAATTTTAAACTTTATAAATGCCCACTGAAAGCATCCTACGAGTAGATTTATTGTTGTGCAGTGATAATAACATTAATAGAATAGGGAGGGGGGAGGGAAGGAGAAGAAGGTATATAGAATAAACAGCGCTAGCTTGTATCAAACAAGAGGGTAATGCAAATTAAGAATTAGTAAATGTATAAAGAGTAGTTAATCTTGAGATTTATGCATTTGGGCAAGCAACACAGTCGCAATCATCATCATCGTTGATAACCTGACTCTTGAGATCTCGCTCCATCTCTGCAACATAGTCACCTACTTTGCCTTGATAAGGTTGCAATTTAAGTTCTTCTTGAACAATAGCCATGCATGCAGTCAAGTTCTTGTGAATGCGAGGAATAAATGCTAAAATCTCGGCAGGCATCAAACCTTGCAATTTGGAGATAGTCAGCAGATATTGCCAGGCATTGATCAGGATACGAATGTCAAAGTAACAGTCAGCGGCTCTGGATCGTAGGAACTTGACAAGTCGAATTGTGTTGAAGGCCGAGTGTAGAGCGAGTGTAATTGTTGCAGTATCGACGGATGTTTCAGTGGGGCCAAGCATGGAATTAACGGCAATCAGATATTCTTGATCCGTCCCTTCAAAATCAATGGCTTTACGTAGATCCATCAATTTAGCAACACGACGCACCCATTTCTGATCTGTAGTGTCCACAGTAGGTCCGCCTCGCCACACTTCGTTTAAAAGACGCCAATCAGTGCCAGGAGCCGGTATCTTCTTGGGCAGGTAGCATTGACTCAAGACGATCCATTCTTCGTATAGCGCCAATGTAGTCAATACAGGAATAGCGCTATGAGAACACTCACGCTCTAGCGTTGTGTAATACTCTTTGCACGGGATATTCGAATCATACAAGGGGAGCGACAGTCTGAATTCAGGCGGAAGCACCTTGTAGTACCAGTGACGAGTGGCCATTTCAACTTGGTGTCCAATGAGGCCCACTAAATGGTGTAGATCGCAGGATTGAGCAGCACGACTTGCTTCATGCTCGGCTCTCTGGAGACGCAGAATATAGCCATTCATTTCAGCGAACCACTTTTCCTGCACCGAGTCGTCGTCAGCAATTTCCCATTTACCTTCACCCATATGAAGTAATGTACAAAAGGGCAAATCTTGTTTGTTCAATAGAAGACTGTCCTTGGCAGTAGGCGTCATGGCAGGATTACCAGCACGTGAAATTTGTTCGAATGTTTGCGCCCGATGTAGATGGTTACGGAGACGACTAAAGTGCACAGCTTCGCCTTTTCTCAGCAACAGCGAGGGGTCCTCATTTTCGTTGGATTTCTGCTTTAAGATTGCGTCGTAGTGTGGTGCCAGTACCAGAGTAATACGTTCAGCCATGTCAGCATAAAGCATCGCTTCGTCTGTGTGTGAAACAGTGAGTTTATAAATAGTCATGAATGTGTAACTAGTTAGAGTCTCTAGATCAAATTGATCAAAAAGATCTGATAAGAGATCACGAGCACGCTCAAAATAAAATTTGCCGTACTCTACAAGCGAGATTGATGGCAAACAATCTGCTACATGTTTGCAGCGCAGGGTACAGATAGCAGCACAGAGCGCCATAGCTGCTGGTGAGTTTTCGATGGCGTTTTCATCCACATAGAGTCGTATAAATGTGCGAACGTGGATAGCGAGTTGCTGGAGATGTTGACAACGGAGATAAGCCCGGAGCAGTTTCATGGTGGTGACCTGAATCGAATCAGGCGACTGCGCTACAACCATGGTATTGACATTGGATAAGTCTGGGGTAACAAAGATGCGAACGGATCTTGCTACGTTTTTGCAATGCGTTTTGCCGTATTTCTTTCGGATTAATGTGTTGAGGATGCCGATAAGCGAGTTTTGTTTCACAGCCATGGAGATGTTTGCAGGTACTTGAGGCATAAGTTCAATGGTGCCCATCATCAGATAAAGGTTGTTGAGCAAGTCAGTGTGAGACTGAACATTTGTATCGATGCACATGTTGCCCTTTTGGAAGGTGAGTGTCCAGGGCGCTACTTTAGCTTGGTTTTTGCCTTGATCTGTTGATATGTAAGCATGGGCACCGTTGCCGGATGATGCAATGAGTTTCATGCGCTTGCTGGGCTTTGCTGAAATCAGCTTATCAATGTTATTTATCTCAACATTTGGAGGAACAGAGGCGAGACAAGCGACAGAGTTGTCTTCATAGCTGGATACACTCTTATCGCTATCGTCCATCAAGGAAGGGATACTGTTGACTGGAGAAGCTGCGAAATCGACGGCTCTGCTGCTTCTGCCCATATCTTTCATCAATATTTCCATGTCCTTTATCTGATTGTTCAATGTTTCGACTTGTGACACCAAGGCTGCTCTTCTTGCTAGTTCAATGAATTCTTCATCTCGAGGGGAGCGAGTGGATGTATAGACACAACATAGATTAAACTTGTGGCATCTGGTAGACTGTGTGTCAGGCCAACGGTCAAACATGTACATGTCCCCTCCTTACCTTTCACAGGGATTCTCTCCATTGCATTTTCTCTTTTGGTCTCGACATTCTAGAGAAGGGGATACATTGCTTAGCCACATTATGCTAAATCAAGAGAAAGAACCTACCTTCACAGGGCACCTTCTTGCTGCCCCTCAGCGTTTTTGCTTGCACCATATTACTAATATGAAAAAAGTGATATGTAAAAAAAAAAAAAAAGAAGAAGCTCAATTTGAAACAAACAAAAATTTACCTTTGTAATTTGAATGGTAAATTGAATGGCTCGGGATGGCGATTGTACGCTGAGTTTCTATAATATGACTCAAAAATGGATGGAAAAACTTGTTTTTACGTAGCTGAAAACGGGGGCATGCATTTATAAAAAAGAGGCACTTCATCTCGCTTAGAGCTCTTTCTCAAACTTCATCAAAAGAATGGCCAAAGAAACTGTGTATGTTGACCCCACAACTGGAGAGCAGATTCCAATGAAAGACGGCAAGCCCTGTCGAGTCTGTGTCGATTTCAAGACATGGTCAAAGATTGGCGCTGGAAAGAAGTCGTCAGGAGCAACAGCAGCAGCAGCAGCAGCAACTGATAAATCAAACGAGCAATCCACTGCCACAGCAACTCAGTCAGGTACCACGTCTGCAGATAAGGCAGCAGATGCAGGAACCAAATTTGATGAGGAATGGAAGCGCAACAATTGCCCAGCAGATGTAAAAACATTGGGAAGACACACATGGACATTGCTCCACACCATGGCAGCCTACTATCCCGAAAAGCCGGAAAAGAAACAACAAGAGAGCATGAAAACTTTCTTTGAGTCGTTTTCTGAGCACTATCCATGCTGGTTCTGCAAGGTAACAGGTAAAATGTGATTTACAAGGTGCCATGTTCTGACCATGCATTGCAACTAGAACGACTTCAAGAAGGACATGGCAGAAAATCCAATTGATGTCACTAGCAGAGAGACGCTGAGTGAATGGCTGTGTAGACGCCATAATAAGGTGAACGAGAAGTTGGGCAAGAAGCAGTTTGACTGCAGTAAGGTGCTTGAACGATGGATGACAGGCCCAGCCAATGGCAAATGCGACGAATAGAGACTCTGCACCAAAACGTGTCCAGTGTTACACTTAGAGCTGATATAAATATGAGGCAATAAATTCCCACATTGTATCCTGCATCTTCTCCTTTTTTCCTTGATTACAAAATGCCTGTAAAAATGAACACTTTCAATAGCATGGCGCCCGAAGTCATCTATAATATATTTTCCTACTTGTCATATCCTGAAGTATATCACATTCGCTCTGTATGTCGCAAATTTCGGGTCATGGGTGAGTTCCACATTTACCAGCAAATCAAGTCGATGCGGCAGACCATCACCATCAAATTGGATGGTTGCAAGAACAAATCCTTGGAATTGGTGGCAAACCACTACGATCCTAGAAACCGTATCATCGAATTCAGACCTGTCGATGGCTCCTCGGTCATGTCTCTGGCGAACACATCCTCTCATCAATGGAGCGCTTATCACCGTCTGATGAAAATCCACTTTTCTGGCTGGTTTCTGAATCGATCTCAAAAGTTGCCTTATGAGCAATTAAGCCCACAAGACCAAGCCATGGTCATGTACCATTACCAATACAACTCATCCATTGAAAAGACCTACGAACTGCCCTCCTGGAACCAAACATTAGAGACAAAAAGCGATCGACAACGCTATGTGGGTGACAAGGGATTGATTTTGTCTTTATCTTATCAGCAACAGTCCAAACAATCAATGGAAAACCGTGCTCGTGCTCAACCTACATTAACAAACCTGCCTGCCTCCTATTATAGCTATCGCTCTGTTACCTCTTCGGCTCCAATGCCCATGGCACCCAAGATGGAGGTTCAATGGATCCGTGTTACTCTGGATTGGGTACTTGGTGGCATCAAGTCAAATATACCGTCAACGCAGATATACGAGGACAGTTTTGCTAGTTTGAATCAGATGTTGGCAAAGGAAGGATGCTTCAAATACGACCCCCTGTCAGAACCTGTGTTGGAGTACATTGTTCAGCAGCAAGATCAAGATGGTCAATTACCAGCGAGCCTTGTCAAATATGTGCATTCTCACACTCACGAGTGCCATACCCGTTTATCACGTTTACAGCACATGTTGGAAGGAGCAGGTGTTGATCCTCAAGTTCTTTGGAAGTATACATTTGCCAAATCATTCGTTGTAAGTAGCGGTAGTTTGCTGTGTGAGGAGGATGTTGTCCGTCGTATTCAAGACTCTGAAGAGGAATGGCGTCAAAAAAAGCTTAGCCTATCTCGCAAACTATACAACTATCATCAAGGAAATGCCAACAATGACATTCTTATCTAATAATTACATTTCACCACGTACACAATTGCATTCTCATCTTTCATTATTCTTCACTCAAATGCATTATCCACTCTAATCATGACACACCCCTTTGACATTATTCTTTTTCTTTGTTTCCTGACCCCTTTCTCTATATAATCTTTTAATAAAAACTTCCTCTTATTATACAACACTTTTTAGCATTTGTTCAAAGATCCCTAATCAGATCCTTACTATAACTCCGTTGAATTCCAAGTCCTTCTTATCTGATCTTTTATAGATCATCTAAAAAGAAAAATAGCCCAAAGTCTTAATAGTCGTATTATCTATAAACCATATAGAAGATTTTATATAAAAAAAAAAAGACAGCTCAAGTTATTCAAAACGTTTATTTAGAGTTTAAACAAAATTGTTTCCTGTCATCTGACAACTACATCAAAACAAAGGGGTGGTCAATCGTATTAAGTGTGGAGCCTTCCATTTTTACATCTTGATACAAATTGATGCTTTTTAAATGAGCCATTTACTATAAGTTTGTCTCCAGTTTTGATGAAATGCAATAGGTAATTCATTCAATGATGTTTTGTATAAAAATGTCTATTTCGTCCATAGATGGTATTGCGAAATGTTCACCTCGTTCTTGTCATGTTACACTACTTCAAAACGGGCGGGATGCTAAGATGATCCATAAATCTAGACAGTCTATAAATATTCTAGAGCATTATACCTTATTCAGACGGTGGGAACTTTTACTTTGTGTCTGCAACCTGCTCCTTCTAAATTGGCTATGGCTATTTCAGCCAAACAAACAAAAGATGGATTAATCTTTATACCGCTGTAATTAAAGCTGTGATGTAAAAAAAAATCTTTATCAGATCTTTAATTTAGCAATTCGCTGGCATAAACGGCCCATTAAATTAGCGAGAAGCAAAATTTGAAGAACTATTGTGCAGTGTATGATTTACTAGCCGATCTATCTTGCTACGTTCGATGTCGACGTCGCCCTGTGGGCTCTCGCCAAAGACATTTTAAATCAGATATTATACATTTGGGTATATCAAGTAGATTTTATACAACTAATCATTAGTTAGTAAAAGAAAGGTTATATTAGAGCCAGAAGGAGGAGAGAAGGTATCTCCCTCAGCACCTTTTTTGCTTACACTGATATCAAACAAAGCCTATTATTGGGAGTGAAAGAAAATTCAAGTTTTATGCAGCATTTATACACCATAATCGCCATTTTCTGATAATAGAACTGTCATATCATTTACTGCTGCTGATGCTCTTAATAAGATGGCGACATAAAGCTGATCATAAGTATATACAAGACTTGTGTAAGATCTACAGCGACTTTTTTTGAGATATTGTCATTGCAAAAGACATTTTCATGAGGCAAAACTCCCCAAAAAAGTATCCGGGCTATTCAATTGTCTTTTCGATTTCATGATTCCCATTTAATCAGCATCGCAATCATCATTGCCATCAACAGAAAGGCATTTAGGTCAGCCAGCAGCAAGCCGCCGCCGCCAAAATCAATTCAAATTCAGTTTATTTTTTCTGTTCAAGATTGGACAGATTTCGTCTTTTTTTTTTCGACTTCTTCTATTTTATGATATTGGACTATATAAATTATGATGATCACTCTACGCTTCTTAATACATTCTTGAAGTACTTTTCAAGGCGCTTCCAATGGTGCTAACTTTAATAAATGTTTTGATTGAAGTTGTTGAGCAAGTTAATAAAATTTGAAATGAGGGTTTTTGCGAAAATAGCCATATTTCGCATATGAAAGCCTTATAAAAGTAGTTTCAGAGGTTGCTCTGGATCGAGAAATACATTTTGGTTTGATATATACAATAGTAAAAGTCTTCATTTTCAAGGTGAAAAACGCGATCGTTTGATTTTCGATGTAAACCATGAGGTACCCCTTATGCTTTTTGGTCGATTTTTAGCCATTTTTTTTTTTTGGGTCCTCAAAAAGTTGAGCAAAGGTGTCAGGAAGTTGTTGTTACTCGAGTACGATAGTTTGGCGTTATTCAGGTGGTTCAGAAAGGTCTACATGACAAAATATTAAAGCTTGAAAATTGCCCAATTTGGCTGTGTTTTTGTTTTATAGCTTTTATTTACACGGCATGAATTACATCTTGGGCAGCTGAAATATTCTGGAAGGGTAGTTCTGCAACGTGTGCAATATGTAATTTGAATAGAAGACCTAGTGATTCTGATAAAGCTAGTTTATGCAAATTTTGATGCGTTATTATGTTGTTCGTAAGCTCATTAATAATGGTAATGAAAAGCCAAATTTGCTGCTTGAATACTATGGTTTTGCACTTTTGCTTCACTAGGGTAAAATCGCCTCATATGTCAATGTTACCAAATGTTGCCTTGAAACTACAGATCACTCAATCCACAGCCAAATAGCAGACAGGAAATCACTCAATTTGCAGCCGAATGCCTGGCAAGAAATCACTTGAATTAGATGCGTTATATTCTTGGGAGAGAGACTTCTGATTTCTGTTTGGACACTACGACATTTCTTTCATAATTTTCTAGTATATTATTAAAGGATGATGATATTAATGAGCGACTTTAAAAAATAGCTACCTAATATCAACAAGACAACATCTCTATATACACATAAACAATGTAATGCAGTGACAAGCTAGACCTCAAGCATGGGCGCTGTCATGGAAAAAGGCAGGTGTAAATGTCTAACATTCTGTCTTATACGGACCAATATACCTAATATTGCGGACATGTGCCATAAGTATGGAGTTAGTTTATGGTTCGTATCCAGTCTGATTCATGTATTGCAAATGAGTGGGATCGATGATACTTTAGGCCAAACGATGGCGTTTGCTAATTTGTTTGAGCCGTCAGTCATCACTTGTCATGTTATTGAGTGTCTTCGAAAGTGCATATGGTAATACTTCTACAAACGCAAAAGGGTATGAATGGATTGAATAATCCAAATGTTTCTGCTGCTGCTGTTGCTGGATCAGACTTTCTCAGCTTTTTTTTTGAGCTCCTGCTTCAAAGATGGCCTCCCCCTGTTTGGATTCTGTTCCATTTTCACTTTTTACAGGACAACATAGCTCATTGGCTACGCACAATCATCAAATGTCAAGAACACTGCTATGGCCCTTTGTTCTACGAATAACTTGATTGGAGTTGATCCATGATTTCGATCCACAAACTGTGACTGGAACACCACAACTCCACATTCAATCTTAAATTCTATATCTGATCGATTAGAGTAAAAATTTTACTTCTTTTAAATTCAAACGTTTGAACAATGGCACCTGTAAAATTGGAAGGTTATGAGTTTTTCAATAAAACCTTGAAGGCTCCCAAGACAATCTTGGCTCCTATGGTGGATCAGTCTGAACATGCCTGGAGAATTCTTAGCAGAAGATATGGCGCTGATGTGTGTGTTACTCCCATGTTCCATGCTAGATTGTTCAGCGAAGGCAAAAAGTACAGAGACGAACAATTTACTACCAATAAAGAAGATAGACCCCTTATTGTACAAGTGAGTGGTCGCATTTGGTGCATTCATATGTGTAAATACTGACTCGAATGACTAGTTTTGTGCCAACGATGCCGATATTCTTTTGAAAGCTGCCAAACTTGTGGAAAACGATTGCGATGCCGTCGATCTCAACCTCGGCTGTCCTCAACACATTGCCAAGCGAGGTCACTATGGCTCTTTCTTACAAGATGAATGGGAGTTGATCGCTAAAATGGTCAGTCTTTTGCACAAGGAATTAGCTGTTCCTGTCACTGTCAAGATTCGCTGCTTTCCCACTGTTGAAAAGACAATTGAATACGCAAAGATGATTGAAGCTGCAGGCGCACAAATGCTGACTGTGCACGGTAGATTGAGAGAACAGAAAGGCCACAACACGGGTATTGCTGACTGGGACAAGATCAAGGCCGTCAAGGAGGCATTGAGCATTCCCGTTGTTGCTAATGGTAATATTTTATATCACGATGATATTCAAAGATGCTTGGATTATACTGGCGTCGATGCTGTCATGACGGCAGAAGGAAGTCTCTACAACCCAGCCATCTTCTCCAAGGACCACAAGTTCCCTCCTTTGGCTATTGATATGGCTCAAGAATATTTGGACATTTGCAAAGTGGAGAAGACAAACGGAAGCGCCATCAAGGGCCATTTGTTCAAGGTATTGCACTCCACCTTGCCTCATCATAAGGAAATGAGAGCTCGTCTTGGTCAAGCTCGTCTCGGCAAAGATGGCTCTCTGGATGAATATACACAGGTGTTGGCTGAATTAAGGGCTTTGGTTTTGAAGGATATCGAGGAACAAGGAGAGGGCGAGGATGTGCAGGGCCAAGTAGATGAAAATGGTATCCGTAAATACGCCTATTGGAGATGTCAACCTTACATTCGACCCAAGCTTCCCGAGGATAATGGCAACAACTCGGAGAAAGCCAAGGCTCATCAAGCCAAGGTGCAGCAAGAAAAGGCAGAAAAGAAGCGTCAAGCTGAAGCCCAACAAGACGAGAGCAACAAGAAGCCTAAACCAGAAGCACAGGAAGAGCAAGTTAGACAAGTAACTGTAGATACCAATTAATCCAAAACATATAGAATTATTTCTTTTTTTTTTAAAAAAAAATCTTTATTATTAAAAAATGTACAAATATATATCTAATCTAATGTCTCCAAATCTTGAGCTGTTTATCTTTACCACCACTTGCTACTTTATCGCCTCCAGGAGACCAATCAACAGCAAAGACTTCGTCTAAATGGCCAGGTAAATCCATCTTGATCTTCATCTTTTTGATGTCCCAAATCTTGAGTGTACTGTCTTTGCTTGAACTGATCAGCAAACGAGAATCACTGGACCAACTCACTTGATATACAGCACCAACATGTCCTCTCAAGTTGCCAATAAATTTGCCAGTGGTACCATCCCAAAGTTTGACAGAATTATCGAATGATGCACTTGCAATTAGTCTACCATCAGGGGAGAATGCTACATGGTTGACCAGCTTTTGATGGCCTGTCATACGAGTGATTGGTTTCTTGCTCTTCTCAGGCTCCCAGTAGAACATGGTAAAATCATCAGAGCCAGAAACGAGCCTTTCAGAGCCTGATCCCTTGAATGTGTTGTATCTTGCGAGAGCTGCAGCCTTGGCCTCCTCCTCGGTCTTGTGTCTCTTGCCAGTGTGATCAAAAGGACCAGTGCGAAGAACGAAATCAGTGCTGAGAGCTAGTGTATTGACCCAATGACCATGACCTTCTAATGTTTTCACAAGCATGCCAGATGAATTCCACACCTTGATAGTTTTATCTTGAGAAGCTGAATAAATCAAACCTTCACCGCCCCACTTGACACATGTAACAGCAGCGGTATGTTGAGCAATGTTGAATGCCATTCTTCTCAATGAGGTATCCCATACACGAACAGTATGATCTTTGGAAGAACTGGCCAGGCGATTGGCTTTTGAGTTCAAATGATAAGGCTCCCAAGCCAAACTGGTGATCCATTTACGATGTCCCTTGAGTCCATCACCGATTTGCTTACCGGTCTTGGGATCCCATAAACGCACTGTGTTATCCATACTACCTGAGGCTAAAATGGCACCATCTGGAGACCATGCAATGGACAAAACCCAACCTGCATGGCCCTTGAGTGTGTGGCGAGGTGTTTCTGTATTCAAATCCCAAATACGCACTGTACAATCACCAGATCCAGTGGCTAATTGTGAACCGTCAGGGCTGAACGAGCAAGACAAAATAGCTTCAGTGTGTCCAGATAGCGTAGATGTACAACGAGAAACGGCTCGCACTCTGAAGATAGCTTGCGGTTGATATACAATAGTGAGTGTATCTTCGGTTGATTTGTCTTTACGATCTGTCCAAAGATCCTTGATGATCTCATCCTCGTTGACATGGAATGAGTAGGGAAGAGGATCTTCTCCCTGAATAAAGCGTTAGTATACTTGATCTAACATATGATGGCGCTCTGAAGACCTACTTGATTCAAGAGTTGATTCAATAATAATTCAAGTTGTTCAGGTGTGGCATCTCCGGGTAAATTGAGTGGAGGACCGGTGGATTCTCCTTCTGCTGTCTTGAATTGAGCAACTACTTTTTGACCAACAGGCATGGCCGCAGCTGCGATTGCATCCAGCTTCTTTTGCCTAATCTTTGCTGCCATGGTGTATAGATTGTGTTTATGCTAAAAAGTAAGGAAGACGAAAGTTTTTTTTCTTACCCTATCCTTCAAATGACAGTGGCTTTCCAGACATCAGATTTCCAGTGACGGTTTGCAGGTGACGGTTTACACCTTAAAGTATTTGACATGTTTGCATGATTTGAATGATTCTGGACCTGAAGGCCGTAAACGACATTAATCACTGTGTTAACAGCACTCAAAACCACTTGTGTCTTGAGAATCAATGATAATATTAGCAAAGTCACTAAGCATGTCAATAGCTACCTATTCTTCCATAATATAAGGGTGCCTAATGTCAAGTATTACAAAGTAATATACGCTTGCCATCTTTATGATGTTTCAGAGTTCTCTAATGCTTGAAACTTGAGAGATTACTATGAAGATGTTAAAGATATTTAAGAAGCTCGTAATTGAAACACAAATTTACTACAACAAATATGACACTAGGCAAAAAATATCTTTCTACAAGACTAAGTTTTGCTATGGTGGTGCATATAAAATTCTTTTTCTGCGCGAGCATTAATCAATGCACGCTCAAAATCATTTTATAAGAGTACAAATGATCACTGAAAGAATTGGTAAAATACGCACATGTGGTGTATTATCGACAAATGCTTTGGAGATCTAAAAGAATTCGAAAATATAAGATAAACACATTCTTAGGCATTCCCATTTGATCTTTTGTATTATCTGTCCAGGGTTATTAGAGATTACAAATCAAAAATTTAAAGAATTGAGTACAGTACAAGGTGAATAAACCACCGGCAAAGCCGGCATTGGGGAGGAGGTTTGGAGGGGATGCTAAGCCAATCCACCAAGAACATAATGCATCTAATTCAACATTTGATAACATTGACATATGAGGTGATTTTATCCTAGTGAAGCAAAAGTGCAAAACCATAGTATTCAAGCAGCAATTTTGGCTTTTCATTTCCATTATTAATGAGCTTACGAACAACATAATAACGCATCAAAATTTGCATAAACTAGCTTTATCAGAATCACTAGGTCTTCTATTCAAATTACATATTGCACACGTTGCAGAACTACCCTTCCAGAATATTTCAGCTGCCCAAGATGTAATTCATGCCGTGTAAATAAAAGCTATAAAACAAAAACACAGCCAAATTGGGCAATTTTCAAGCTTTAATATTTTGTCATGTAGACCTTTCTGAACCACCTGAATAACGCCAAACTATCGTACTCGAGTAACAACAACTTCCTGACACCTTTGCTCAACTTTTTGAGGACCCAAAAAAAAAAATGGCTAAAAATCGACCAAAAAGCATAAGGGGTACCTCATGGTTTACATCGAAAATCAAACGATCGCGTTTTTCACCTTGAAAATGAAGACTTTTACTATTGTATATATCAAACCAAAATGTATTTCTCGATCCAGAGCAACCTCTGAAACTACTTTTATAAGGCTTTCATATGCGAAATATGGCTATTTTCGCAAAAACCCTCATTTCAAATTTTATTAACTTGCTCAACAACTTCAATCAAAACATTTATTAAAGTTAGCACCATTGGAAGCGCCTTGAAAAGTACTTCAAGAATGTATTAAGAAGCGTAGAGTGATCATCATAATTTATATAGTCCAATATCATAAAATAGAAGAAGTCGAAAAAAAAAAGACGAAATCTGTCCAATCTTGAACAGAAAAAATAAACTGAATTTGAATTGATTTTGGCGGCGGCGGCTTGCTGCTGGCTGACCTAAATGCCTTTCTGTTGATGGCAATGATGATTGCGATGCTGATGAAATAGGGATCATGAAGTCAAAAGAACACTTGATTAACCTGAATTGTTTTTTCTTTGCTTTTATTGAGAGTTTTTCCCTATGAAGTTGTCGTTTGCAATGGCAATCTCTCAAAAAGTCGCTATAGATCTCATAAACTTCCTGTATTTACCTTTGGCCAGTTTTATGTTGCCATCTCAAGACCAATATCAGCGAATGGATACCTCCCCCTCCTGACTCTGATATAACCTTTCTACTATTAATTGATTGCATAAAATCTACTTGATATGCCAGATTTTTATTATCTTTGATTTGGAATGTGTTCGATGTGAGCCCGTAGGCCGACGCCGTCATCGAGCGTAGCGAGATTAATCGGCTGGTCTACAGTATACTATAAAAAAGACGTCGTTAGAAGTATATGAAGTTTAAACACTGAGCACTGGACAAGGCTCAAAAAACTTTTGTTCGCATTTACAAGCATGCTCCTGAAGTTTTGAGGTTTTGAGCAAAAAAGAAAAACGATAGGTTTGAAATCATATTAACGAGGATACTCACGCTCAACCCAACCCTTAAATGTGGTTGGAGCCAATCGTTGGTGAAGATAAACGCACTCAGAATCTGCCAACTGTCATTATCAGAAAGGCATTCGGGCTAGTTGGCAGTAGCGCTGCCCGCCGCCGCCGTCGACAAAATCAATTCAAACTTAGTTTATTTTTTCTGTTCAAGATTGGACAGATTTCGTCTTTTTTTCGACTTCTTTCTTCTATTTTATGATATTGGACTATATAAATTATGATGATCACTCTACGCTTCCTAATACATTCTTGAAGTACTTTTCAAGGCGCTTCCAATGGTGCTAACTTTAATAAATGTTTTGATTGAAGTTGTTGAGCAAGTTAATAAAATTTGAAATGAGGGTTTTTGCGAAAATAGCCATATTTCGCATATGAAAGCCTTATAAAAGTAGTTTCAGAGGTTGCTCTGGATCGAGAAATACATTTTGGTTTGATATATACAATAGTAAAAGTCTTCATTTTCAAGGTGAAAAACGCGATCGTTTGATTTTCGATGTAAACCATGAGGTACCCCTTATGCTTTTTGGTCGATTTTTAGCCATTTTTTTTTTTTGGGTCCTCAAAAAGTTGAGCAAAGGTGTCAGGAAGTTGTTGTTACTCGAGTACGATAGTTTGGCGTTATTCAGGTGGCTCAGAAAGGTCTACATGACAAAATATTAAAGCTTGAAAATTGCCCAATTTGGCTGTGTTTTATACATTTGCTTGTTAAGAGGCGCGTTTTTTGTTATGTGACAAAGGCATAAAGACATTGCATTCATTAATCTAGACTCAGGGCATGCTGCTACATTCAAGTACTTGGCCGGACATATTAGGTTGAGTGGCACTGTTGTATCGTTGTATCATTGCACAATGATAAAACTTACTAGTCAGGGAATGGCAGTCTTAAGGCATGCTGAAAGCTTCAGATGCAATAGATAATCTTCATCTAGTGAAAACTAAACTATAAAGCTAGCTCAAATAATAAATGTGGTCCATATCATATCCGTACATAAATCATATATCAAACATAATCTCAATTATATTTCATTCAAAAGCAATCACTACAATTACTCTATCAATGGAAAATGCAATGCCATTTTGTTTAAACTGTAAGCCTTGTCATATCCAAGCCATGTAACTGCAACATGCAATAATTAAAGATACACAAAAAGGGCGTTCGCAATGTAGTATTCATCATCACACCCAAAGTTATCACTGCTGCCATCTAAATAGTGCACTGATGGTATGCTTAGAATCACATGTGTGTTTAATATACATCTGCCACTCATTCGTTAATATTGTTTCTTGTGCATGCACTCCTGGAAAGTGTTTTATTTTAGCAACACTTAGATGAAAAGAGTATACATTGTCAAAAGGGATTGCTTTTTATCATGACTTTAGTGTATATAATACATGTACATGCTCTTATATATCAAATTAGTAACTGTCAATTCATTTCGTCTTGCAAGGCAACCCGTTCCTGAAAAAAATCAGAAGAGCCATTTGTTGATTTCTGTTTTAATCACAACTTGTGCGCCACTACAATCATGTCGCAAAAGCCGAATGATGTAAGAAAGTATACTATATTTAACCATGAAACTAAATGTAGCGCATACCGTGATATGATTGTATATCAAAACCATGCTCCCGTGCTCCTGATCTCAAGCACAGGCAGTGCGACAATTAGAGATACCCTCGGTAAAACAGTCGTAGATGTGCTGCAATGTGCGCTTAGTCAAGCAAGCAGGTCGCTTGACGTATCGTATCTAGTCTTTGTTATCATGTGCCGTATGCAATATCGTAAACAAACAAACACATGTTGACATTATGTGTAACTCTTGTTTTCTCGTTGTTTGTTTGATCAGCATACTACATGTCTATTTAGCTAAGAGATGACTGACACTGATAAGTTACGTTAAATTCCGTTAGTGCAAAAAAGATCATCTATAAGTATTGTGTATTGTGTATTTCTGTCGAGCGTTGTATAAATTTTTAATTAATTACTATAGAGAAAGGAGAGCAAGAAAGCGAGCATGTCATATATTATAGGGGTTGAGAGAGGAAGAGAGATATGTGAAGAAGTTTATCCAGATCAACCATAAGCTATCATTATGTTCTCCTAGAAGATAGAGTCTGCCAACTCGTAGTACGCAACCAAATAGATAGAGAAAGCCCCCTTTATGTCTACAAAAGGTAAAGTAAAACAACTCCTAAGTCGATTGAATTCGTCGACACAGTGGGGCGATCATTTCATGCTCATCAACTTTATGAAAAATCCCAGAAATTTCGCCTCAGGACGGATTTAACATGAAATAAAGGCATTTCCCAACATGTAGAGTCACCTTGTTTGTAGATAATGTAATAATTCTAGGGCAAATACTCGGGAAATACCATGCGTTATATCTACGTAATCAATGATATTGACTTGTCACTGCATATAATAGAAAAACTATACATTTTGATGTGTGTGTCTCAATTCCATACATTTATGATACATACTCCCCTCACCATGACAAAATACAGTATAAAAGGGAGACCCTATATAAATAAGCAAGGAGGGGCAAGATGTAAATCATAGTGTCTTATGAAAAAAAAAGGGTCTAAGGTTTCCATATTGTAATTCATTTTATCAAATAAAACATGTAACCAATGTCAATATACGCTATGGAATAAAGACACATCTCCCTCACAATACAGATCATTTATAGCCTAGTATTCTATTGTTTATTAAATATTTATCAAATACTAGTGCATAATTCAGATTGATCTGCTTGAAACACCATTTTGTCTTGGCGGTAATGTTGGATTTTGATTTGAAAACGTAAGGGTTGAATATGGTTCATATTACATGTGTCGCTAACATCATCATCATAAGCATCATCATTTGCACTGATGAATGTATGGAAATGGCTTATAGAAGGAAAGGGGGGAAACAGGGCGGAGGAAGGAGAAGGAAAGGCAGAGGAGCCTTACATCTAAAATAGTGTTTGGGATTGCACCACATAATCTCTACATGAGCCTATAGTTACAAGGTGTTTGTGTGGCAAAATAATGATTTTCACTCCATAACCACTATTACATCTTGCGAGTACGCCTTGTATTGCTGATTGCCCGTATCATAACGAAGCAAATGATTTATATATATATATACATATTTTCTTGATTTGTACAACTCGCACGGTTAAAGGGGGTATAAATGATAGAAATATGGATGCTATTTTTCAGTCATTCAAGGTATAGAAAACTGCACCCTTGTATCATGTATACATTGTTGCTCGCCTGGATTACTCGTCAGACACTCTATCGAGTAAATCTGCTGGTCCAAGAGGTACACTATCAAGGCGATAGTGCGCTTTCCCCCCTTACTTTTTGTTGATGTGCACCTTGCTCACTTGTCTATATGATTCCCCTTGTTTTTTTTGTGTGTGTATGATCCTCCCCCCATAAAGATGTGCATCAAAAAACTGTTAATACTTTCTATTTTTCTTTTCCTCTTGTTCTTTTGTTATATAAATATAAACATACATGTCTATAAAATCTTGGTTTTTACACAAGTTGACTTTTTCCTCTTCTTCTTCTACTTCTTCCTCTGCTTCACCTTCATTATTCTTTGGATTACTTAAATTAGCCATGAATGAATCAAGGTTAAAGACCAATCCATCATTTGCCAGTGCAGTGACAATCCCAAATTGTCCATCGGCAGACAGCACCAGAAAAAAGACATTGACACCATCCATATATACTGAAAAGTCGGCTACTATTGCTGAGCCAGAGAATAAGCTTAAATTGTTTGCTATTGCTTTCAGAAAAACATGCTGGGCTTTGTTTGTAAAATATTGGTTTTTGCTGGGTCTACTAGTCGCTATCATTCTGGCCATCTTCTTTCCCAATGTTGCTAGAAAAGGAGGTTACATTCGAGCTGAATGGACCATCAAATGGGGTATTGTATTGCTTGTGTTACTGGTTAATCTCTATATACTCATCTATTTACTGATAGGCGCTGTTGTGGTTATCTTCTTGATCTCTGGATTATCTCTACGCACAAAAATATTGGCAGAAACCATCTTGCGTGTTCGACTTCACTTGCTGATCCAAATGATCAATCTCATCATTATCCCATTTACTGTATATGGTCTTGTGCTATTATTCTTCAAGTGCCACATGAACATCAACTCATTACTGCTTGTTGGTGTTGTGATTGCAGCAAGCACACCTACCACGGTCTCTTCAAATGTTGTCATGACCAAAAATGCTAATGGAAATGAAGCATCAGGTAAACCCGTTAATGCAATTCTGCCATACAGAAGCTAATCATGCTATACAGCCCTTATGAATGCTGCTCTGGGAAATGTGCTTGGTATCTTTGTTTCTCCTGCTCTTGTATCCGCATTCCAGACACCATTGCTAGCTGCTACACCCGAGGATGAAAGTGCAGCACAGGCTGGTGGCCAAGTTGATTTCGCTCAAGTATTAAAGCAACTTGGTGCCACTGTCTTGGCTCCACTGATTGTGGGTCAAGTCATCCAATGGTTTTTTACGGAACCTGTGGCTAAATTCAAAGTAAAGTGCAGACTATCTGATGTTAGTAGTTTCATGTTGTTGACCATGGTGTGGTCCGTCTTTTCTGACGCCGTGTACTCTGGCTCATTTTCAGCTGTCAGTGCTAAAGACATTGTTGCTGTAGCCATCATGAATGCAGGATTTTACATTGTATTCTCCTTGCTTTGTCTCGTACTGGCCAGATTGCCATTGCCTAAATTCATTTCAACTCCTGCCCTCGTGAAAAGACTTCGGTATTCTCGTGAAGATACAGTTGCCATTATGGTAAGTTTAACATTGCTAAGCGACACATGGAATTTAATACTAAAATAATGCTTTCTGTAGTACTGTGGCGCCACAAAGACTGTTGCAATGGGTGTCCCACTGATCAATGTGCTGTATCAAAACGGCGATCCAGGTACCATTGGCGTCTTGTCTACACCGCTCTTATTATACCATGTTGAGCAACTGATCCTCGGTAACATTGAAGTTGAAATCTTGAAAAAGTGGGTCAAGCGAGGCAAAGAGAGACGCGAAGCTCAAGAAGCAGCAGCAGCACCTCCTGCCAGGGATGAAGAAGAGAATGTACAATATGACAGTGAAGTAACACAGGTAGCTTCTCGCATTGGCCCTCATACGCATTCACCCTCCCCATTATCTCAACTGCATTACAGCTATGAGAAATAGTCCATTTCATTGTTCTTCCCCTTCTAAATAGAGTTCTTACTAAGTTTCCTAATTCCTTCATCTTCTTATACCTCATTAATTGTGTACAATTTCATATCATTCATTTTTCTTATATATAAAAAACCTTCTGTCTCTTGATAGCATAAATGATAACCACCCCCTGTTGTTGGTTTGTCTCCAATTAAATGTCAGTTTTCAATGTGATAAAGTGGATGCCAAATCTTTCCGTAAACTTGGTTTCTCTTTTCTCTCTTGAACCAGACTAATATGACTGAATCAAGCACAAAACCTCCTACCCGTCAAGAAAGAAAGCGCTGTTGGTTCTTGAGAGATCAATATTTCGGATGTCTCGATAAATTAAACATTACTGACCCTACCATTGTTGAAAAGAACCCTGAAAAAGCAACTGAATGTTTGGAATTAAAGAAAGGATATGAGGAAGGATGCATGGCTAGTTGGGTATGTAGATTATTGAATGTGTTCGCCTTTTGTCTAGTAGTAGTAATTAATGCATTTGTAGGTTGAATATTTCAATAAACGTCGTGTGTTGGATTTACGGCAGAAGCAGTATTTGGAGTTTTCTCAACAGCAATCTGGAAAATAAGCCAAATCAGATATACGGAATTGTAGTGTAAATATCGAAATAAAAACAGTGTGTGATACACCTTGACTTGGGCCTTCATTTGATTGCTGGAGCGTATATGCGATGATGCTCAACCGAGCATGAACAATTATTGATGTATGATGATTTCTCGTCGCAGCAACAAGCTATGGTGACAGCGCATTGATTGAGCATTGACTTCGTCACTGGCTTTATCAGCAGTGTTTTTTCAATGTCTAGTTGAGCAATTTGAAAATGAAAAAGAACAATGTATAAAGCAGACAATGCTCTTTCGATTAAATTTAATTGTGTATTGACAGCTTGCTTCCTTGTTCCACTATAACGCTTACAAGTCGATACATCTTTGACATGTTTTCACTGTGACCGTGGAAATGGTCTGTTGAAAAACGTCAATAACAATCCAGATTCAACATTTCACCTTTGTTCAATACAAATATGTCTGACACTAGCGCAAGCACACCTACTCCTTCTACTGTCGAAAAAGGCTTGACTATGGATCAGTTGTTAGAGAATCAAAAAGAGGAGCAAAAGAAGCTCACAACAAAGATCATTGCTTTGCGTAAAGGTGTTCCTAAAAGCGACAAGAGAAAGAAGAGAGAAGTTGCTTCACGAATTGCTGATTTGGAGTACGATCTCAAGAAGAAGCATGAAGAGGAAATTAGAGTGCTGAAAGCAAAGGAGGCTGGACTGGATCCTAATGCTCCAGAACCAGAGGTAAGCTGGCTTATGGTGTTCACAGTTATGGGCGGGAGTATTGACATGATGTCTAGTTGGATGATGGCATCTCTTTGGATCGTTTAAATGAATTAAGCCTTGAAGAGCAAAAGAAGCCCGAGGAAACACCAAACACAACAGAGCAACAGCAGCAACAACCCAAAAAGAAGGTGAACAAAGCTAAATTAAGAATTGAAAAGAGAAATGCAGAGATGGAGCGTATACGTTTGGAGGCAGAAAAGGAGGCAGAAAATCAACCTGATCTGGGCGTTTTAGAAACAGAAGCTATTCGAAGACTAGTGATTCCCCTGAACCTTAAAATTAAACAAGTAGTTGCTGATGGACACTGGTAAAGAGCATTGCAGGGAGGCGTTGATTTGCATAAATTAACTTTTTTTTTTATTTTATTTTATTTTTTCGCGCTGTAGTTTATATAACGCATTTGCAGATCAGTTAAAAACAAGATACAACAAGGATGTAACATACAAGGAGCTTCGCCAGTCAGCAGCTGAACATATGCGTCAACATCCAGATGATTTCAAGCCATTTTTATATCTAGAGGATGGTGATTTTGATAGATATTGTGATGATATTATTAATACAGCACGCTGGGGAGGTCAATTGGAGGTAAATTCTCAGTCGAGGTTGATCTTGATGTGGGTATTGACATGGAGATTAGGTGTTAGCATTGGCTAGGTCAAGTCAAGTACCTGTAGATATCATTCAAGATGGAGGGCCTATCATCAAAATTTGCGATGATGAATATCCTGAAAAGTCACCCATCAAGTTGGCGTAAGTATTACTAAAGAATACCAAAGATGGCCGCGGGTATTGATTGTTCCTGTAGTTATCATAAGCATCTCTATTCGTTGGGTGCTCACTACAATTCGCTTGTCGACCAATTAAATGTCGAAAAGATGAGTTCTACCAGTGATTGATCTCTGTTTTTGCGCAATGAAGATTTCGATCTTGAACTGAGTTTTTACTCATTTGTATAAATAGATGGCAAATCTGTCAAAAATTTAATAAAACTACTATTGCTCCTCATTTTACACAAAACATCAATTACTGTCCACATGTCTCCTGCTGCTACTACTACTACTGCTCCCACTGAAAAGGCTACCTTTGGCGCTGGCTGTTTCTGGGGTACTGAACACATTTTCAACAAGCATTTCAAGAATGCTGGTATCATTAGCACCAAGGTAGGATTTATGGGTGGCGAATTGGATAATCCCAGCTACAAGCAAGTAAAGACTGGTACTACAAACCATGCCGAAGTCTGCGAAATCATTTTTGATCCCACTCAAGTCTCCTTTGAAAGATTGGTTGATTTCTTTTACAGTATGCATGGTAAGTTTTTTTTTTTTTTTTTTTTTTTTTTTTGTAAGAAATGGTGATGGAGGCAACAGTGTTTAATTAGCCAGTGCATGTAGATCCCACTACGCTGAATGAACAAGGACCTGAAGATATCGGTACTCAATACCGTTCAGCAATCTTTTATCACAGCGATGAGCAAAAGGCAATTGCTGAGCGAGTGACCAAACAAGTGCAAGAGAAGCATTTACCCAACACACCTATTGTAACAACACTCGAGCCTGCCACCACCTTCTTTGATGCTGAGGATTACCATCAATTTTACTTGGAGAACAACCCTGATGGCTACGCTGTAAGTACTAAGCAATGTGGTTTGTGGTAGTGGATCTGATTACTAATTCTTACTACAGTGTCCTACTCACTACCTTCGTTGGTAAACACCACATTCATCACACACCATTTGCATTTATATCCCATATAATTTTATTTTGTACATTATTTTCAACTCGAGTTGATCCAACCAGATCCACAATAAAGACATTTACAACAACCTTTTAACACAACATTAGTGAATGTGCTTTCCTCGGTGGGCCGTAAACTCTTGGCCTTGCAAGACAAGCATTTTCGAACAGTGGGCGAGTGTAACACTGTTCTGGTCACACTGCAAATCTCCCAGAAATGGCCAGCTTCACATTGAGCAAGTGGATTCGATGCGCCGTCAATGAAATACACATTGGCTTCACACACAGGGCATTTGTTTCTTGCCTTCTTATCAATCGCTGCTGATGATGTTGTGAATGAGGTGGCAAATGCAATTTCTGACAATAAATCGCCAGCTTGAGGGAATTTGTCTTGTATTCTGACAAAGGTAATCAAGGCCTGTTTGATTAAGGCCTCATCACGAAGGCTCAATGCGAGATCAGCCAGCAGTAGTAACAGTGTAACATCCTGTTGATTCAAAGTAGAGAATTCTTGCTCGGGCAGCTCGTTGGCATAAGAGAGCACAGCGTTGACATATTTTGCTTGCACAATCTGTTTTGCTTTTTGACATGTAGATGCGTAGTCAGGGCCGAAATTAGGTGGTTTGTATTCCGCTAGTTCCAGCTGTGTGTTGTTGATGATTCTTGCAGCAATTGTGTTGGTTTCGCAGTAGATACGTGCTGCCAAGTTGTTGATGCTACACAGGCATCCGATTGAGTACATAGCAAACAAGCAAGCATGTCTGGTCTTACCTTTCTATCGTGGGTGGGACATCCAAGTACTTGGCTACAGTCGAGATCCATTGTGTCATGGGCTCATCATCAGCATCATCTACCAAATAATACAGTATTTCTCGTAGCAAACCCCTCACTGGCTTTGTAAACACTATATCGCAGTACTTAGTACGGTTGATCCTATCCTCTAAATTGTGGTTGTCTTACTAAAGTAGGGATCTTGTATAAAAGTAGCCGTCATTTCACAGATAGAGTCAACATCCTCGCCGCGTTCTCTGTTCAAGAGAAAGGACAGATTCGCAATTTCATAGTGATCGCCCTTATAGTGAATGTCTAGATTTGCCTTCAGCCTAACAGACACAAAATGAGTTTCTATCCTTATCAACACACCATACAAATGTATACTTTACGAATAATACAAGGCTGTAAAGATGCTATTTGGCGAATCACTGGTACCAAACAACGTTGGGAGCGCATCTGATGCTGCTACGATAGAATCATCGTCTGCTTTTGCTTGGTCTTCCATCCATTGGCGTTTGTATTTTTGCACCATTTTTCTGCTCCACATAATGGACATTTGGTTGTCATACGCCATATTACCCTCTGAATCGATTTTCAAATAGACACATTCACCTTCCGAAGTATAGCCTCTAAATAGATCCATGCCATTATCATCACCCACCCAATTACCGCTGGATAATCCCAACACGGAAGCTTGAAGTATGTACACCTGCCAATCTTTGCTTGCCTCCAACGTGAAATCCTCTTTGACATTCAAGCACAGGACCTGGACCTTGATTCCTTTTGAGATGGCAATCTTTATCACTCCCTTTTCAAGCTCATCGTGAACCTTGATCAATGTAATGACAGCTGAATCGTTGTCCTCAAACCATGTATGTAGCACTTGCATTTCGACATTTTGAATTTGTGTAGTTCTTGATTCAGGCACAGTGGATACTTGGATTCGTACGGATGATATGGCCATTGTACCGTCTGTGCAAGCAGATACAATATAAGCAATGTAGGTTGTGTCGGTAATCTTTTTCCATTGGGTCCATTCAAGTAAGTTGACAAAAGATGCATGTGGTGTTATCTGTGTCTTGTACTCAAATGTGTTGGTGAATGCCCACATACAGACATCGCCCGCTTTGTTGGATGTGGCAAACAAAACTGGCTGCAAAGCAAATGGATCGGGTATTAAGCTTTTTGACCAACTGGCACCTATGTATCATGGTGTCAGTGTGCTTTAAAGATGTGTTTCTGGGGGGTTACGTACATAGCGTATGGTGAGGGCTGGGTGCGGTTGTTGCTTGATGTGTAATTGCATGATTTTTTATTCTATCGGTCAGATCTTCGTACTAAATTGCATTTCACAGTTAGGTCCATGTCTATCCAATCCATAGTGCGCTTACCACTTGCCAATCTGAATTAGTGGCATCTCTCGCCGATATTTGATATATCAGCACTCTATGCTTTGTTGTAATCACAGCTAAAAAGCAACTAAATCAACTGTTAAGCCCATGCGATTAGATATTGCTCTAACAGAACATACCTTTGGTTGGGAGATAAGCCTGCTGGTGACCATTTAGCCATACGGCATCCCTCTTCGGTCAGCAGATAGGATGTCTCCATCAGGTCAACATTAGCTACATTGCACAGAAAGATCAGCATTGCATTGTTTGCATTCTGTACGAGCACCTTACCAATGAGGGTTTCGTCGACTTTTTTCTCCAAGGGTGGCAGTGATATGCCTACATGGTTATACTTTTCTCTTGTAGAGAGCATGCCAAGGATAACGGGTGTCTACAAATATGCCTGTTGGCTATGGAGGCGACATTATAAGATTTCGTCTTATTACCACAATATGGACGCCATTCTTGACACAAATGGCTAATCGACTTTCTTGGCTCCATTCAACGCAATCTACCATAAACGGCTTGTTTTTGAGGGCGATGCCAGATTGATCTTCCATGATGATGTGCGAAGAAAAAGTAACAGGAAGTGGATGAGCGCGAATAGAATGGTTGAAAAAATTAACAGTGTTCAAGAGTCACTTTTACATTATGCTGTCAGAATATGCCTTTGAAAAATGTGCAACATGGAAAAATCATGCTTTCAGGAGGTCGACGAACAATCAGACACACCTCCCTGAAGAATCATTTTAACTCGCATTAGCAAATACTGATTGATATGATATTCTTTATATAAGGAGGAATTAAGACAGCAAGGAGTCGAATTATAGCTAAAGAAACGCAAGCGTAATCTCGGTAAACTATGGAGGTGTAATGAAATCAGCATGTCCAAGGAAGAAGGGGATCACATCTACTGATATTGAATGATGTATTTCTCATCATACTGCTCCTGCTTTTGCTGTTTGCTCTTGTAGGACCAAGCAGGATAGATGCTGCTCTTTTTCTCGTCTTTGGATGGATTGACATGAGCATACAGCGGCACAGTGACAAAATCCACGCTTGGATATCGATTGAATTGCTGGCTGGTTAGCGCATTGTAGCGATCATCAAATTCAAGGACGATAGACTGTCATTCATGCATCAGAATTAATGCACTAGATAAACGGGAATCATGCAGACTTACATAAACTGTCTTCATGTTCGCATTATCGGTTACTTTTATTTGTTTTGCAATGTCATTGAGATCAGATCCATTTTTGCTAAAGCGATAGTTGATGCCGCGAATGTTCTCTGTTGCATTGATACGATTACAAACACAAAGAATGCCAAGCTCAAACTAGAGGAGTATGTTCAAGTTGCAAATTCTCAATCTAATGCCTGGTAGTACTTACTCTTTGACGCAATACTCTGTGTCTCCAGACGACAAGCAATGTAGTGAGTAACATAAAGAATGGCAATATGATTAGACCGTACGAGCTCTGCGTAAATAGCCATATTAAATAGTTGCCAATGATAGCAATCATCCAGAGGATCCATAGCAGGGTAAACCAGAAGAACTTGCTGCTGGGAGGGGGGTTCTTTCGAACGGATTGATTCAATAGATTGAAGGTAGTGCAAAAGTCTCGCACTGAAAGCTGTATTCAAAATGTGAATATTTAGCAGTAATCTCAAAACTGATTCTACTTACATAGCCTTGAAGATCAAAGGTATATTGGTCGTCAAATTTCTTGTTGATGAATGAGAACCGAACTGATTTCATAGTGTCGTCTGCAAAGAAAAAAGAAAAGATTAAAAGGAAGGGAATGGAGTTGAAGAGAAAAGAGTGTAATGGGGAGGGGGGAAGTTTATTCGTTTGTAATGTGCAAAGGCACTAAAATTGTGTAAAGAGGAAAAAAGAAAGCATTTATGCAAAATGGCTCATGTTAGATAATTGATGTGCCCATTGTAAAAGGGGCAAACGAATTATCGTATATAAACGTACTTGGACAATGTTGCCTGGCGTATAAAAACGACACATGTCAGCAAGGAGAGATATAATGAATTCAGGCTATTTATTCGAATATATACAATTTGAAAGCGCTATTCTTCTTTTCAGGCAAAACCAAGGATTTTGTGGTGGATAGCCAATGCTTTCTTTTGTCCTTCTGTAGCATCAGCAGAGAGTTCAGGGTATGGGATCAAGCCCATGTTCAATTTTACAATGTCGTTGACTGTGCTTGGCTTAGCTCTATCATCAAACGTCTCTTCAAAATGGTTACCAGGGAAATCGGGAGGAGTTCTAGGAATATTAATGAAATTTCAATTATTAAAAATGAGCTACAGATACAAAATCATAGTTGATACTTACAAGCCCTTCTCAAACGCATCTCTTTGGATCTTGAGATACTCTGAGTTGATACGACAAAGGGGCGCGGAAGGAATGTACAAGACAGATGAGTCCACCTCAGAATCATTCTTTTGTTCGACTGCATGCACTTGATCGCAATGCCAGAATACCTAATTCCAAGATTGAGTCAAGCTACACCTACGACAATGGGTAACCAACTTACAGCATCGCCAGGCCTGACATCAGGCATGGAAATCATATTGTCGATGATATGAGGATAATCAGTCTTCCCAATGCCTTGACACAACCCGGGCAAAGCACCAATATAGTCACTAAATCAAAACAAGTGAGTAGGCTATACAGACAGATCGCTTGTGAAAACTTACTTTTTATCGATGTACTCCTCAATCAAAGGCTTCATCAAGAAATAAGCAACAGATTGCTGCAAAAGAGGACAAACACGAAGGGTTCCTGCACCAGTCTTGATATCAGACATGGCGATCCAGCCTTGAAAGTTTCTGAAGACTGAGCAACCACCAGGAGAGTTGTAATAATCCATGCGTGCTTCGACACGATGAGTAGCATCGAAAGAGTCATGTTTCTAAGGATCAATACATAAGTCGGCCAGCTATATATATATATATATATATATTGACTTTAATATGCAAATCTTACCTCCCAATCACCGTTGAAAATGTCAGTGTAACATTTGCGATATTCAGGGTCCTGCCAGCCTATGCAAAGGTATTAAGTACAACGAAATGCTCTTGGTGAGTGTTACATTACGTTCAAGGGAGCCACTATCGACATGTTCTTGCAAGGCAAAGCTTTGATCTCCAGGGTTACGAATACGAAGACGATCACAGTAGCCAACGTTTTTGCTCAAATCAATAACAGTATCCTCTTGAGCATGCCAGAGTTGATTCAAGGCCAAAGTAGCAGTTTCAAAACGAGGATGACTTCTAGCATTGACTTGAGATTGAGACCAATAGAGCTCCCATACCTGAGGGTCGTTCTTGGGGAAGCCTTCAACTTGACCACGATGATTAGCAAGGTAAGACTTGATCTGATCCTTGTAGCCACGTGCCTCTTGTTCAGGGATAACGTTTCTAATGACCACACAGCCTCGGCGGCGAATTTCAGCTTCAATGTTGGTAGGGAAACGACCGTTGTTGGCTTGAATTTCTTCAAATTCAACTTGAGGAACAATGGAGGAGCCTTTTTGCTTGATCTCGGGTGTTTCTTTTTCAAAGGATTCCAAGAGTCTTTGGTAAGCAGCGTTAAGAATAGCAGGGTCTTTGGGAGCAATTTCTTTCTTCAATGCGAGAAGACGAGGATCCAATTGAGTCTCTTTACCACCGAGATGAGAAAAGACGGAGCTAATATCGCCTTTGGTCTTGATAGATTGTTGTTGTTGTTGTTGTTGTTGTTGTTGTTGAGCGTTCATCATCATCATTGTAATAAGAAAAAAATTTGTTGATATAACCCAAGTGAGCAGGAATCTTTGCCTTTATTTATACTACTTCAGATCATTGATTTAACAGCATTTTCCCAGTTTTTAGTATGGGGTAATTTAAATGACAGCGGACCGACGGAGGGCCGCGGCAAAATTAAGTACAATGGTGAGAAAAATCAAACACTGTAAGCTGGTCATTTCGAGCTAGGGAAAACAATAGAGGCATTGTCTAATCAAATTCGACGTTTGACGTATACCATATGTTTGCTATTACACATTAGTTAAACCAACAGCATCAGAGCGCAGCGCTGGCATAAGTAAAACAAAATACAGCTGCTAGAATAAGCGAAGATATTTCTCCAAGCCGCAACTCCCTTTTTACTAGCTCGTAAGAGCATCGATTGCACTCAAGATGAATGCATGAGTGATTTTGTCAGCCAAAACAATTTTACATCCTGCTGATTGATTTTTGTTCTGATTGGACAAACTTTAGTTAAAATCGACCTATTTCATTTATTTTGCCAGATTTGACTATATAAATTGTCAAGATTATTCTATACTTCCTTTAGCCCCTTGAAGTACTTTTTCGAGGCGCATCAAATGATGCTATTCAAAAGAGATCTTTTGAATCAGATGATTGAGCAATATCGTGAAATATGAAAAGAGATTTCTGGCCAAAATGTAGATTTTTTACATGTAAAGAACTAACAAAAGATGTTTCAAGGGCTGCTTTGGATCGAGAGCAACATTTTGATTTAATATGTCCCATAGTAAAAGTCTTCATTTTTGGTGTCAAAAACGCGATCGTTTGATTTTCGATGTAAACCATGAGGGGTATACCTCATGGTTTTTGGCGATGTTTTTCAGATCCAAAAAAAAAGTTGAGCCAAGGTATCAGAAAGCAAGTGCTAGATGAAAGCAACTGTTTGATGCTAATCGGGTAGTCTAAAATGGCCTCTAACTCGGGAAATCTCTGCTTAAATGCACTTGGTTTTGCTGTGATTTGCATGTTTTTGATCAGTAGGAGGTATTCCATGTGTGCTATCTACCTCGATATGAATCGAGTCTTATTGATATAGACGTGGACCATCATGGATGAGCCAGATCCACGGTTGTGGGTCAGTTCGCATGTGATGACAGGTAATCGAAATGTGGAAATTAGTTGGGGGCCGTACAAATGACAATATCCATTCTTAAATGGTGCTTGCGTGTGTTTCATTGTATATAAATCGATCAGTGCTAACGAGAATAATGTGTTCAATAACGTGAAAGATGCCTGTGTACTACAACAGTCTGCCAGCTCCTTGCAGTGAGTTGTGGTAGCAACATCTAAAAACCATTGGAACAGATCTTGCTGTGCTTCTGGCTAGATGACGTATATTTAATAAAGGTAGAAATGTCTACACACCTTTGTCAGGAGCGGGATTCATAAAGGGGAAAGAAAGCAATGAAAGAGACGCGCAATCGTTTTCCACCAGTGCCAACTTTCTCTCTTTTACTTATTACATTTAAGCAAAAACATAACCACAATGACTCAAAATATGGAAGTAGACTTCGATGTTCCCAAGTTCTTGAACGAGGAAAGACAAAAGACGCCTGCTCAACTCCAACATTACTATACTACATTTGAAGATCTCTATGAAAGAAAGTAAGTAACAAAGCAGCACTTGATTCAGGCAAGCGTCTGTGTCTATGCCTGTCGCGCGTACAGTCAACATTCCTTTACTCACAAAGATATATGACAGGTTATGGCATCAATTGACCACCAAGGTTTTGGAATTCTTCAAGGAACCTGAATCTGCTCCTTATCAAATCTCACTCTTTCAAAACTTTGTTGCTGAATGGGAGGACAAAACCAACAAATTATCACTCGTCTCTATTGCTCTTCAGGCTGCAAAGCAATTCTCTGGTAAGTTCGAGATCAAGCTTGAATAGTACTGGTTGTGTATTGAAACAAGCAACTTTTAGACTTGAACGAATCTGTCAGCTTTTTGGATGAAATCATTAAAAAGGTCGATACACCTGAAACCAAAGATGTCTACGTCCTTGCACTTATGGAGTCAGCACAGTTCAAACTAAAGTTAAATCAAACAGACGACGTAAAGAAGGCCATTGATGAATCGGAAAAGATTTTGGATGGATTTGATAGTGTCGATACAGCTATTTATGCCAATTTCTATCGTGTCAGCGCTGAATATTACAAGGTCAAGGCCAACTATGCTCAATACTACAAGAGTGCATTGTTGTATTTGGCTTGCGTCGACGTTGAAGAGTTGAATATGAATGATAGAATTGAAAGAGCTTATGACCTTTCTCTGTCTGCATTGTTGGGTGACATGATTTATAACTTTGGTGAATTGGTAAGCTATACAAGTGCATTCTGATCAGAGTCCATGTCTAACTGCTAAACCACAGTTAATGCACCCTATCCTCGACTCTCTTACTGGCACTGAGCACGACTGGCTTCGTTCCTTATTATTCGCCTTCAATGCTGGTGATATTGGCAAATTTGAAGCATTGGTACCTCATTTTACAAAACAACCTTTACTCCAACAAAACCAAGGCGCACTCAGAAGAAAAATCTGTTTAATGTCTTTGATTGAGGCCGTTTTCAGACGCTCCACAGATAACCGCTCTATTCCCTTCTCTGAAATTGCAGCTGAAACTCGTTTATCCGTTGACGAAGTTGAACATTTAGTCATGAAGGCATTGTCTTTGAAATTGATCCGTGGTTCTATCGATCAAGTGGATCAAATTGTTGTTGTTACCTGGGTTCAACCTCGTGTTCTTGACAGAGATCAAATTGAAGGCATGAGACGTAAGCTCACAGAATGGGATAATCAAGTCAAAAAGATCAGTGCTTTTGTTGGCGAACAAGGTGGTGAAGTCTTTGCTCAGTAGATATATTTTTTTTTCTCTCTTTTACTCGTTAATAATAAAGGGTTTATTTTGTAAATGTTGACATGTAGAATTACTATGGTACACAAAACTGCCAATGATAGGCTTTATTAGGGAATATTTCTATGGTACATGGCTACTGCTGCTCGCTTCATCTTGAAATTCGATCAGCACCTGCCCTGATCTCACATTATGTCCAGCTTGGACATGGATCTTCTTGATGATGCCAGACTGAGGTGTTCTCAGAATATTCTGCATCTTCATGGCTTCAACAACCACTAACTCGCTTCCTTCTATTACTTCTTCTCCTTCGTTGACAGCAATACTGACAATACGTCCCGGCATAGGACTGGATATGATTTTGCTCTGCTCAGCAACGGATTGAGTCTTCATGTATTTTGATAGATCGTTTTGTTCTTTGCTATACACATTAACTTTATACTTGCTGCCATGGTATTGAATTCGGAATCCCATGTCGAGGGGGTCGAGGTATTGCAGTACGAGTGGTTTCTTGGTGTCGCCCACAAGCGAGTGTGCCAGCAGCCCATTCAACGGCCATCTTGTAGAAAACTTGAAGATGCCGTCTGCTGAGTGTGCCTGAAAACCACATTAGTGTGAACTCAGTTGACAAAGACTAGTCTTAGTTACCTCGAATTCGGTGCCTTGAAGATGCTTCAGTTTGATATTAGACTTCATTACTTGCTGACTTTGTTCATCAGTAATGTGAACCCATATGGACAGAGCTGTGGCTGGTCTATTCCAGCCGCCTTGCCAGTTTCGGGCCTCTTTTTTCATCCACAATGCGCCAGTGACAGCAGCTAATTGCTGTACGGCTTCTTTACTTAATTGTTCTGTTTGAAAACCATTGGGATATTCTTCTGCCAAAAAGTGAGTTGTGATCTGCTTGCCGTCTTGGAACCGAGGATGAGCAAACACAGCTCTCAGCAGAGGAATGTTATGCGTGACACCTTTGATCACATACTCGTCCAAGGCCTTCACCATGTGCTGCAACGCTTCTTGTCTCGTTTGACCGTGCGTTGCTAATTTACAGATCAAGGGATCATACTCTACATGCATTTCTGAGCCCTCTACGAAACCGGAATCACAGCGTACTTTTCCTTCGATAGCCAACGGTTCTTGGTATGTCAGCAAGCGTCCAACGGAGGGCAAGTATTTCTCTGGATCCTCTGCATACACGCGCGACTCAAAAGCCCAGCCTTTGATATCTATCTGATCCTGTTTCAGTTCCAGAGGGTGGTTTGCTGCTGAATAGAGCATCTGCTCTACCAAATCCAGTCCAGTGACATACTCGGTAATGGGGTGTTCCACTTGTAGCCGCGTATTCATCTCCAAGAAATAGAAATTGCGCGAAGAATCCACCAAGAACTCTACTGTGCCTGCAGAGTTATAACCGACATGTTTTGCTAGCGCCACTGCTTGCTCTCCCATCTTGCGTCTGGTCTCTGCGTCCACATGCACACTGGGCGACTCTTCAATGACTTTTTGATTTCTACGCTGGATGGAGCATTCTCGCTCTGGCAGATACACTACATTTCCAAAGTTGTCTCCCAGCACTTGCACTTCAATATGGCGAGGGTTGTCAATGTACTTTTCAATCAACATGCGGTCATCACCAAAGGATGACTTGGACTCTTGCTTGGCCAGTTTGAATCCATCACTCAATTCCTTGTCATTCCTGATAGTAATATAGACTGCCGTTAAAGCACTGTATCAGTCGCCCTCAGTGGCCATCAGCTTACTTACCACGCAATGCGCATACCCTTGCCTCCACCTCCCGCACTGGCTTTGATCATGACCGGATATCCAATGTCCTGGTTTGCAATGCGCAGTGACTCTTGTACGCTATCCACTTCGCCATCAAATCCCGGTATACAATGCACGCCGCTCGCCTTTGCTATCAGCTTGCTCTGAATCTTGTCTCCCATGGCAGCAATCGCCGATGCTTTTGGCCCTACAAACGTAATCTCGTTCTGCTCCAGTACCTTTACAAACGTGGGATTTTCGCTTAAAAATCCGTAACCCGGGTGCACAGCTTCGGCCCCTGTGCGTTGGATAGCAGATAAAATGCGGGGTATTGACAAGTAGGATTCTTGTGAAGAGGCAGGCCCTAAATGAACTGCTTCGTCAGCCATTTGTACATGCAGGGCATTGGCATCGAGGTCGGAATACACGGCTACGGTCTTGATGCCCATTTTTCTGGCTGTCTTGATTATGCGGCATGCAATCTCACCTCGATTGGCAACCAGCAACTTGTTGAATGTCTAGTATAAGCTACATTGAATACAAGCCCCCCCCCATAGTGCATGTTGGCTACAGCAAAATCTTACCTTTTTAAAAGGCTTCTGTAGCGATGTATGCGTCGTAGCAGCAGGAACTACCGGTGGTGGTGGTATGCTGGGTATAGTTTTTGTGGATTGTGTTTGTATCGGTCGCACGGTGATGGGTTTGGGTTTGTATGGCAGTAGCATGGGCTTTGTTCTCAAGACGGATGTGGATCGCTTGATTGTATTGACCCATTGCTTTGACATGGTTTCAGGCGCTATAATATAGGAATAAAGAGAGAGAGAGAAAAAGGTACAAAAAGTGAGTTTTTGGTGGGAAAAAGGGATGGATCTCAATATCAGATTTGGAGGTCACACAGGGCATTGCAAAGCATTTGATCCTTTGTCATGGCATCATGCTGGATCTGATAGACTAAACTTTATATCTGCAAGCCATTCGACACAGTGATCCAGGGGCAACAGGAGGCTGATGTGAGGAAGGGACTGCAATTGACTGAATGGGATAGCATGCCCAAATATGAGAAGCACACGCTGTATGGCACCAACGATAAGTATCAGGGATTTAAATAAGCGACTTTTTTTTTACGTCCATCAAGACAAGACACTCCTTTTTCTTCTTCAATATACTACAGCATGTCTATGGCCGAATACAAAATGAAGAGGGACGCCTGTCGTCCCAAAGTGCTGGATAAATACGAAATCATTGGCTTTATTAGTTCGGGTACATATGGTCGAGTCTACAAAGCGCGGTCGAGAAACAAGTAAGAGAATTGACAGATACACCTGTTCCAATTGGCATGCTGATACAATGGGTTTCCTCTCAAGAGACGATCATCGTGAATTCGCCATCAAGAAATTTAAGCCAGATAGAGAAGGCGACACACATCATTACGTCGGTATATCACAATCAGCCTGTAGAGAGATTGCAGTAAGCGAGCGTACGCATAGATGACGCACACACACGGATACTGATGACAACGAAACGCAGTTATGTAGAGAGCTCAAGCATGACAATGTGGTGTCATTAGAAGAAGTGCTGTTAGAAGATAAGGCCATTTTCATGGTGTTTGAATATGCAGAGCACGATTTTCTGGTAATCACAAGCAAATGAGAAGAGACTCTGAGCACAGGCACTAAACCAAAGCTCAATCTATAGCAAATCATTCATTATCACCTACACACAGAGCGAAAACCTATAATGGAAGTTGTAGTGAAGTCGATATTATGGCAACTCATTAACGGCGTGGCTTATTTACATTCTAATTGGGTTTTGCATCGTGATCTGAAGCCTGCGAACGGTAAGTTTTGTCGCTGGACCCAGCGAACACTGCACACCATCACTTACACCAATTGAACAAAAGTACTGCTGACGAGCGAGGGTGTTGTGAAAACGGGTGATTTGGGCCTTGCGAGATTATTCAACAAACCTCTGCAACCACTATTCAACGGCGATAAAGTGGTTGTTACTATCTGGTACCGTGCTCCCGAGCTGTTGTTTGGATCAAGGCACTACACAAAAGCAATTGACATGTGGGCTGTTGGATGTATTTTTGGAGAGTTACTAGCATTGAAACCTATATTTAAGGGCGAGGAAGCTAAGATGGATGGCAAAAAGAACGTGCCATTTCAAAGAAGTCAACTGACAAAGATATTTGAGATTATGGGCACGCCAACAAGTAAGTGCAGTCTTTGTAATATGTGTGTATACAGAGTGTCTGATAATGTGCAGAGGAAAGATGGCCGACTATAGATCAATTACCAGACTATCCTCATCTCAGTTCCTTCCCACAGTAAGTGCATTGATATCTTGTGCTGGCAACCCTAGCTGATTCCGCAATGTAGATGTCCCAACAACCTCAAACAAGTATACCAAATGATGTTGAGCCCAAAGAGCGAGGCAGGGTTCAACTTATTATCAGCATTATTAGAATACGACCCCGCAAAGAGAATCACAGCTGAAAAAGCCCTGAATCATCCCTATTTCCAAGAAGATCCCAAGCCTGTGATGAAGTAAGTGCTTATAGCTGGCTCTTATGACACTGTTACTGAAATATCTTTCTAGTGTCTTGGCTCAGCACGGTGTGGAATATCCTCTTCGACGAATCACACAGGAAGATAACGACATTAAAGCGTCCAAACAAGTGCAGCCAAACAAGGATGACCATTCAAGCAGAATGGCCAAGAAACCTAGGAATGCTTAAGGTTATCTATAACAAAGTTGTATCTGTTTGGCATTGAAATTGTTGCACAATCTCCCTCTTATCACTTTGTGCAAGCTCATGAAGTATCCTAAACATATATGCAGAATAATGAGACTTCAAGAAGCAGCTTCACTTGATGCAACTGGATAAATAAATCATAGCATAATAAGTTTATTGTCCCTACACACTTTAGAAGTTTCAAAAAGGAAAGAAGTTGACCTCTTACAAGTATTTCGATGAACTTGCATGATTAGATGCAAGACTTTAAAAGAAAAATAGCATGGGTGAAGGTAATCCTACTATGTAATTCGGCCACCTGTTTTTCATTGGCTTCAGCAGCATCTATTACAGCCAGCCTGCCTCACAAGCCAAAATCGATTCAAACCCAGATTTACAGGCTATTCTAGATTGGCCAAATCTTGATACTTTTCGACTCAACTGAGCTATTTTTCCAAATTCGACTATATAGAATATGATGGTCATCCGATGTTTCCTAATACATTCTTGGAGTGCTTTTCAAGGCGTTTCCAATGGTACCAAGTAAGATGGATGTTTTGAATAAACTTATTGAGCAATTTACGAAAATATGAAAAGAGGTTTCTGGCCAAAAAATCGAGATTTTTCATATCAAGATTCCAAAAAGATGATTTCAGAGGTTACGTTAGATCAATAGAAACATTTTGAATCAATATATACCATAGTAAAATTCTTCATTATCCAGGTCAAAAACGCAATCGTTTGATTTTCGATGAAAACCATGAGAGGTACCTCATGCTTTTTGGTCGATTTTTGGCCATGTTTTTTTGGTCCCCAAAAAGTTGTGCAAAGGCGTCAGAAACTAACTGCCAGATGAGAGCAATTGTTTGGTGCTATTCTGACAATCTAAAACGGCTTTTAACGCGAGAAAATGCAGCTCAAATGCGTTCAGATTTTGCTGTATCAGGGACGCTAAGAAGTAAAAAGGGGAAATACCAATATGCTGTTTGCTGGTATATGAAGTATTTTCGTGTATCCGGATGTGCAACGTCGTATAAGAGACTGATTCACAGATAATATAAAGATTTCTCATGTATAAGTGGAGAGTTAAAATAAAAGTAGCAGTAGTTTGGTATGATGAGCAAGGGTAGCCGGTAGCACGAGCTGCTGCTGCACAGCTTGATTCTCACCAAAGCGAAGCGAAGTTAGAGAGCCATTTGAAGCGTACTCACACTTGCAAAACTATAATAATAGTTGGGAAAATTGAGCACTGAATAAGATGCACGAGCCGGCAATGGCGAGGGCCAAGCTCATCCACCAAGAGTCAACGTCAGGAATATTGTCATGATTATGTACAAGATAAATCAAATCTACGAGATCCTTTAAAACTAGAGGAACACACGTTCTCAACGGTATAGCATAGTCAAACAGAAGATATATAACTGCTACATATAGAGGGTTGCTCGAATTACTATATATGGTGATTCAACACTAATCCTCATTCCACTGTATTAGAGAATCCAGCTCCATTACATCCTTCCGCCTTTACAACAATGATAACAATCCATATGCAGGCAGGCGCCATACTTGTATAGCTTTTCCCTACTCGAAATGATCGAAATTGGGTTGCAAATTGGTCGAAACAATACAAATCTTGATATAGAAATGCAAAATTCTCATCATATCCATGATTGCATACGAAACGTACAGTGAGGCTAATAGTATAATACAGTTGTTTGTTTATTAATTGTGGCTGCTATCCTTCTTTGAAGAAGTATTTGAGCTTTGACTCTTGGCAGCATTGACAGCCTGTACTTTAGATTGATGAGATGATGGAATAGTGGGTTTTCTCAAAGGTCGAATATCATCGGCTGCAAATCCAGGTATACGAATATTCCAATTACGTTCTAAATCAACCTTGGTATCAATATTCTCTTTCTCTCTCTTTCTCAAGGACTCGACACTTACCCAAATGCAACTGAACATCCTTCACTTCCAATGTATCTGATTTGCGGTGCTTTGCTAATTGGCATGCAAATGTTGTAACGGACTCAATAAACTCATCAGCAATCTCCAATAGTATCTGTAATTTGATCCGTCAACACAAGTGATACTCTCCCCTCTCTCAGCGCATTACTTACATCCTCAACTTCAGGCTCTAATCTCTCAGAAGGATCGATTTGAGACACCAATTCTTGAATTTTGCGTTTGGTCAAGACACGATTAACGCCATCGCTATCCAAGGAAGGTGCTGATGCTGGTTTGGGTGCTGCTGGAGCTGCTGGTGTGGGCAAGGCGACATTGACAGTGCTTCCACCTGGTGTAGTAATGGCGGAAACAGGCAAAGGTGTTGCTGTAGCTACGTTGGCAGGGGCAGCAGCAGTAGCAGGTGCCTGTGCTTGTGTTTGTGCAGTATTCGTGGGAAATGTAAACATGCCGTTATTCTTGACGGCAGCAGCAGCAGCAGCGGCGGCAGCGGCAACAGCAGCTTGTGCTGCAGCAGTGGTTGGTACTGTTACATTGCCTTTGACGTTGGGTGATGGAAATCCTGCTTGCGGAGAAGCATTGTTCAATTGTTGAGCAGCGGCAGCCTGAGCAGCTAAACCAAGCTTATTCAATGCCTGCTGTTGTTGCTGTACTGTACGCATCTGCTGTTGCTGCTGCTGGACAACGTTGTTGGCCACTGCAGCATTGAATTGGTTGTATTGCTGTTGCTGTTGAGGATTGAATGTAGCCGGAGATCCAGGTGCTGATGTGCCGCTCATATTGTCATTTGTGGATGCAGGCGAATTCGTCTGTTGTTGCTGTTGCTGGTTATTGCTGTTCATCTGTTGTGACAATACGCGTTGCTGCAAGTTTTGAGCCACCATCTGTGGAGTGAGGTTGCTGATGAGTGTTTGAAGCATGGCTAGTTTGGATTGGAGTTCCTGTTCTTGCTTTTTATACTGTTCTTTGTCCTGCTCTGATATGTCTGTTCGCTCTATGTTTCTACGTAGCATTGCGATATTGTTGTTCAAGAACTCGATGTTCTGCTGATATTGAGCAATCATTTGCGGCAGCTGACTCATGTGGTTTTGCTGCTGTTGTTGCTGTTGTTGTTGCTGCTGATTATTCGACATGTAAAGTATTTATATATAGTGATGAATGCAGTTATGTAATGGATAGATGCTCTATGCTATTGACTGGTTATACAGATAAATATCAAGAAACACAACAGTAGTATCAAAGTGAGAAGAAAGAAAGAGAAAGATGATTCAACACTGTTTGCTTGACAAATTTTTTTCCCAGCACAAAACGCGCGATAGGTTGTGCTGAGGAGATTCTTCTTTTCAGCTAAATCCACACTTTTACCCAATCAGAATAACATGGGCAGCATCTTGTAAAAGCACAATAAGCTTGATTTGTAGCATGGATAGTTTATATCAAGAATTCATCATCATCTGCTTGGATTCACTGTGTAGGATACATTTGTTTCTCTCGGCCTTGGGATCCTCCAGAGTCCACTGAACAGCAACTGCCGACCAGTGACATTAGATTGATATGGTTTAACTTGGTGCGCAACATGAGTTTCATGTCGCTATGGAGCATGAGCACACTGCCGTGAATATGGCGGCATACGGATCAGCTAGACCTCATGTTTCGATAAAGGCAATGTATGTGAAGGCAATACACAATCGACAGCAGTGTGTGACTATATCGTCTCTCGGGCTTTGGTTGCTATACAACTGCAATCAAGCGAAAACGAGACAATTTTTTCCCTTTCCCTCTCTCTCTTATAGACATTTCTAATAGGCATTATAGATGTTTATTGGCATTACAGGACCACAATATAGTGGCAAGCATACCATTGCCCAATACCTTATAGAGAAGCACACATTCCAACACTTGGCCTTGAGGAATGACAAGACAAACGCTGGTCGAGAGAGCATGTATGACAATGCTTTGGTGTTTGACACTGTGGATGCCATGCAGCTCTATGTCACTGAACGCTGGCAAGAGAATTTCGTCACTTGCAGTGTAGATAGTCGAGAGCTATGGAAACTCAAGTAAGGACTCGTCGCAAGAGAGATGTACATGTGAAACCAATGTAGCTTTTTGATAGGAAACGCCCCTTCTTTTTGTTAGTTTCAGTGGAAGCACCCATAACCATGAGATACCAACGTGGGCTAGCAGGGTAAGTCTATGGATAGAGATTTAGCTCGTCTTGGCTAACGCTAATACTGTGTGTCGCAACTAGGTGTAAAGCCAAGGGCATTAAGCCTGTTGATTTAGAAGAATTTTTGACCCAAGACGATCGCACCATGTACAACATGTCAGCACAAGATGAACAGAAAGTAGACACGACGACAACGCCACTCTACAACATCATGGTGACATCGGATCTCATCATCACCAACGCTTACAAGGACACATGCGCTTTATACGAAGCACTAAATCGCCTAGACATGACCAACAAGGAAAGACTTCGACCTACTTGGGATACCTATTTTATGCAACTGTCTGATTTAGCAGCGAGAAGATCCAACTGTATGAAGCGCAGAGTGGGGTGTATTCTAGTCAAAGATTCCAGGGTAATGGCAACTGGCTATAATGGCACACCACGTGGCCTACGTAACTGCAATGAAGGCGGGTGTGGACGTTGCAATGAAGGTGCTTCATGTGGTACAGGACTTGACAGATGTCTTTGTATGCACGCAGAGGAGAACGCTTTACTGGAGGCAGGCAGAGGCAGTTTTGTGTTTGATAGCGGCGTTGTATTGTACTGTAACACTTGCCCCTGTTTGGGATGTGCTATCAAGATTATCCAGCAAGGCATCAAAGAAGTCGTGTACAACAGATCGTACGGTATGGATCAAATGACAGCCAAAGTGTTTAAAGAAGCTCAGGTCAAGTTAAGACAACACAGCCCTCCGTCCATGCAAATAGAAATTGGAGCAGACATAGAAGAGCAGATATCGCTTCTCGCGTTGAAATAAAGCATGATTATATCATAGACTCGGATCTCTCCGCTTTTATGGCACAATGATGATATCCACGCTTTCTCATTTCTCTCAATCTATTATTTGGAATTTGCCTTTTTAAGGATGTTTACAAAGCTACCCAATATAGACAAGATATTACACAAGACATTTCTCTCTCTCTCTCTCTCTCTCTCTCTCTCTTCCTCCCCCCTCTACATAATTGCATTTGAGAAATGCAATCTCAATATAATCCGAATCTCTCTTTCTTTCACTTTCTCATCTCTTTTTCAACACATTAAGAAAAATGTCCTCATTAGCAGCATCACCACTACAACATACCAAGGACTATGGTGGATCATTTGTGCATAGCTACGGCTCAAAGACATTCATCAGGCCTAAAATTGACGATGTGTTGGATGCAGTCGTACAGGCAAAATTCAATGAAAAGAAATGGGTTTGGATACAAGACGACAAGGAAGGCTATGTGAGAGGGCATGTTATCAAGGAAGAGGAGGGCTCAGAAGTAGAGGTAGAATATGAGCGAGGAGGGGTAATGTACACACACACACACACACATGGCGAGTAACAAAGAAATTGCATAAATTAATCAAGTACCTTTAGACTGGCATTATCCCTCAATCACAGATACAGCCCATGAATCCGCCTAAATTTGACATGGTCGATGATATGGCTGAACTCACCTACTTGAATGAGCCTTCTGTGATTCACAATCTCACGCTTCGCTACAAGGCAAGCCATGTATATGTAAGTCGCGCGCGGCAGATCGTGAGTACTCCTTGAAAGATTCACTGACACACTTCTCAAGACCTACTCTGGCCTCTTTTTGGTCGCAGTGAATCCCTATAGAAATCTCCCTATCTACACTGAAAACTACATTCAATCCTACAAGGGCAAGAGACGTGGAGAGATGCCGCCTCACATCTATGCTGTTGCAGATCAAGCCTACCACGACATGGTGCAAGACAAGGAGAATCAGTCCATTTTGATCACGGGTGAATCGGGTGCAGGCAAAACTGAGAACACCAAAATTGTAATCCAATACCTGACAGCAGTGGCAACCACTAACAGCAATAGCAGCAAGAAATCAGTGACCACATCAGAGCAGCATGCCAACCGACTCCAAAACCAAATCTTGCAAGCAAATCCAGTGCTTGAGTCGTTTGGTAATGCGCAAACTATCCGCAACAACAATTCATCAAGATTTGTAAGCTATAAAAACGAGAAAAATTTCCGGTTGAATAGTAGCTTATTTCAAAATAGGGTAAATTCATTCGCATCGAATTCAACAACAGAGCCCAAATTTGCGGTGCCAATATCGAGTGGTATTTGCTTGAAAAATCAAGAGTGCATCAGCAGACGTCAAGAGAGAGAAACTACCATATATTCTACCAGCTGTTGGAAGCTGATGAAGAGCTAAAAAGTAAGTCTTGGTGGTGTGTGTATTGGCAAAATGGGTGTATTGATGTGTGTGTGTATGTGTGCAGGGCAATTGCTGTTGGATGGAGATGTCAACAGCTACAACTTTATCAAGCATTCCAACAAGAAAATCGAAGGTGTCGATGACGCCAAAGAATACCAAAGCCTGTCTGTAAGTAGTACTAGTAGATCAAATCTTGAAACCCACATCATATCTTAACAACCTGAAAATTAGAAATCGTTGGATATCATGGGATTGGAGGAAAAAGAGAAGCTGGATCTGTTCAGGGTAGTGGCATCCATACTTCACCTGGGCAATATTTCCGTCACCGATTACAGAGACAGAGCTGATATCAAGGATTTTGCCGCTGTGGAGAGAGTATGTCATTTACTAGGCATTTCTGCCGAAGAATTTAAAAAGAGTCTGTTGTCTCCCCGCATCAAGGCAGGCAGAGACTGGGTCACTCAGGCCAAATCACCAGCCCAAGTTGTAGCCAGTATCGACGCACTAGCAAAGACGCTGTATGAGAGAAATTTTGCCTATCTGGTAGAGAGAATCAACAAAGCGATTGATGGCTACAAGTCAAAGGACAAGCTGGGCTTTATCGGCGTGCTGGATATCGCAGGCTTTGAAATTTTCGAATCCAACAGCTTTGAACAACTCTGCATCAATTACACCAACGAGAAACTGCAGCAGTTCTTCAACCAAAACATGTTTGAATTGGAGCAAGAAGAGTATCAAAAGGAAAAGATTGATTGGAACTACATTGATTTTGGAAAAGATCTTCAGCCAACCATTGATCTGATCGAAAAGACCAATGTGAGTGCAGCATCTACTCTATGTGTTGATTATGCCTATTAACCAGTATCATAGCCTGTTGGTATTCTGTCTTGTTTGGAGGAGGAATGTGTTGCGCCCAGAGGAAGCGATCAGCGTTTCTTGGAGAAACTCAATAAATTTTGCGACAAGGACAACCCGGAAGCCAAATACAAGAGCACGCGATTTCAAGATGGCTTCATTCTCAAGCACTACGCCGGCGATGTTGAATACTCAGTAGACGGCTGGATAGAAAAGAACAAAGATCCTCTCAACGAAGACATTACCCGCTTGTTGGCCAAATCTACACAGAAGCACGTAGCCAATCTTTTTGAAGACTACCTTTCAGATCAAGATGAAAAGATAGCGACCAAGCTCAGTTCTGGTGCCTCTGTATCATCAACCACAGCAGCCTCCACTACGTCATTCTCATCCATGCTCAAATTACGCAAAGGCAGTGGCTCCTTTCGAACTGTTGGCCAGCGTCACAAACAGCAGTTACTCTCATTGATGAATACATTGCACATGACACATCCTCATTTCGTGCGTTGTATACTGCCAAATGACCGCAAATACCCAGGCGAGATTCAAACAAAGCTAGTGCTGGATCAGCTCAGATGCAATGGTGTGCTGGAAGGTATTCGTATCTGCAGAAAGGGCTTCCCCAACCGCCTCTCCTTCGATGACTTTAGAAAGCGCTATCAAGTATTTTGCCCTGATCTAATGGATCGCAATGCATTCATTGATGGACGAACAGCCTGTCAAATGCTGGTGAAACAAATGAGTCTGTCAACTGATAGCTACCAGATTGGTACCACCAAGATCTTTTTCAAAGCAACAGTGGTATGTGTTGAACAAGGCTATTTTGTATATGCAGAGTTTAACCCCCATGTTTAATATAGCTTGCATCTCTGGAAGAGCTTCGGGACAACAAACTGAGCGCGTGCATCACTCAATTCCAAGCCATGTGCCGTGGAAGAATGGCGCGTCAATACCAGACAAGGTTCTCGCGTCAAACAGATGCTATCCGTGTCATGCAACGCAATGCTCGCATTTATGTTACCTTGCGCGAATGGCCTTGGTGGAAAATCTATGCCAAACTCAAGCCCTTGAACGCTGCTTACCGTGTGGACAGTCAAATGCGTGAAAAAGAGCAAAAGATTACATCTTTGGAAGGCGAAATCAAGGAACAGCATGATATGATTGCAGAACTCATGAGCCGAAATCAAGAATTAGAGAGCGAACATTCAGACTTCAAAGAGCTGATCATGGAAGAGCAGAATATCATTCGAGAGCTGGAAGAGACAAAAGATGATCTGGTGCGAAAATTCACAACATCAGAAGAGCGCGTGGAGGAACTCGAGCAAGAGCTTTCGGAGAAATCAGAGTTTGTAGAAGAGCAACAAAAGACCATTGATGCGCAAGCTGAAACGATAGAGCAACTCACCACACAAGTCGACACATCCAAGCTTGTGCAAGACCGTCTGACGCATGAATTAGAGTCATTGAGAGAACAAGTGCAGGAATCAACAGATCAATTAGCCATCGTCAGTGAAGAAAAGGGATCCATTGAGCAAACGATAGCCGCATTACAAGCACAAGTGGAAAAAAGTATTACTAATCTAACCACGCTAGAAGAAACAGTGGGCTCTCAAAGCCAACAAATTGAAGCGTTAGAGAACAACAACAAGGAGTACGAAGAGAATATATCCGCTAAACATGCAGAAATCGAGAAACTAAAGGAAGCATTACGATCAAGTCAAGAGAACGAAAAGAGAGCTCAGGAGAAAAGCGATGCTCGTGCAGCAGAATTGCAAGAACTCACATCATCATTGGATGCAGAGACAAAATCAAGGCAAGAATGGGAAGCCAAGTATGCTCATCTTAAAGAAGACTGGGATGCTCTCACTGCGCTTGTCAGAGCAGAGTCGGAGCAAGCAAAGGCCAAGATGTCAAGGTAAAAACGTCTTGCTATATGAGTAGCTTGTGTAAGACTCTAACATTTTCTGCTGTCGTTTAGATTTGACCAAGTGTTGAATGGCTTGAAATTCATTCAATCCGAATAGAAATCCCTTAGAATGTCCCTGCTGTCATGTCATTGCAAACCGTATTTATAGATTTTCAAGAATAGAAATCACATTTGATGAATGAGCAATAAAAAAGGATTCTCATGCATTCCTGCAACGTTATTATGGTAGAAACGATGTCATGAGTTTGGTAAAGCAGGACCTCATGCTATCGATATATTTGACTAGTACCTTTAACCGAAACCTGAAGTAAAGAATATGACTTTATCAGTTTATTCTATATGTTAAGGTCAGCATAAGGCTTGATTTATCAGTCTACACAAGGCGTAGATACTGTTCATCGTCGTGAGGGCATTCTTTGGATAGCACAAAAGTTGGTTTTAAATTCTCACCATCGCTTCTTTCTTGCTCCAAAATCTATCGTAATAGAAAATGGTGCAAACAGAAATAGTTAGACACGATTTAGGGGTCGATACCATTGTTTGAATCAATCCGAATGTTGCTTGCTTTGTTCCACTACATTAGGCCTTGTAGCTTAAGGTATACATATTCTCCTCGCTTAAAATACTATACCTTCCGTGCAATATCGTTCAAGTCGTCTACTAGGCCTCCCCAGCTTCCTAGTAGTCAAATATGCTTTGTTTGATAGAGGTGTACTACAGAGTGTACTTTTGTGCGGCGCTCCTCTTTTCACATCAGATCTTGAATGTACAAAACGGTTTCAATGCCGATTTTCGAATCGTCCAAAATCAAATTTTGAAGTATTGATGCTGCAGCATTGAAAGTAGCATGTTCCTATGACAGGATTTGAGAAGAAACGATGGTGTAATTGGATTTTAGATTGGATGGGGCTGATGCCGAGAAAGAGAAGATTTTTTGAAATACGGCATTTTCAAGTAATGAGCTTCATATAAGAACCTGTTGATTACAAGCAATTACGAGTAATAGATCGATAGATGAGGTGTTACGAAACGTTGTATTCTAAACTACTGTTTGTTGTTGGTGATACCTTGCTTCGTTGTGGTGTGGCAAAAGGTTAAAGCTACTATGATGGGCATTTTATCAAGAGGGGTGAACAGCTAATCCAAGCCCCATATTGATGCTAGAGACTTTACACCAGGACCACTATACACTTCTTGTGAGGGGTCGAGCAAGTGGTTTTAGACAATTTTGGCATGGGCTGACCTGTTGGGCACTGAAGATTCACGAAGATTAATGCTACTGCTGCAGCTTCGTGAAACTATTTAAACCCGATCTCAATATGGGTTGTTGATGTCGATTCTTGTATTGCAAAATATGTACGTATCATGAACCTCTGTTCGCTCAACTTTGATACAAGATTTCGTTGTTTGGTCCCCCCCCCCAAATGTGCTGACACCGACTCAACCTGCCTCGTATCAGCCATTTTTCCTTGATTACAATTGTCCAGCGTTGTTGTGAATAGACCTTAAGTTTAGTTGTTTTATGAATAAACATAATATCTCTGTCGGTGACGACCATCAAGAGTGCACTGTTGACCTGACAAGCATCTTGGTCAATCCGAGCAAGTTGTTAGATCCAAATTTGCATATTTTTACTAACACTCAAGTTTTAAAATCACTGTATTATTCGAGCATCTCAAAAAGACTAGATTGTCAGAATTAGAATAAAAGCGTCGATAACTTAGGTATTGAGTTCCGTACAATGCAGAATATCAGGGGCATTAGACAGAACTGTAATTTACTTACTTCTTTGGCCGCACAACATACTACGCTTTATTTTTAAGCCTAATTCTGTCCAAACTTAACCATTTTGAAGCACGAATGACTCATGCCACAAAGCGTTCTGTGCGCTTGGAATAGCACCAAACGGCTCTCCTTTGGTACGCCTTACTTACTGATGCTTTATCTCAAAATTTTTCAGGTCTTTGCAAATTTATGAAAATCCTCATTTTCAAATGGGTACTAGCAAGGGAAAATTTTTGAAAATCAAACGATCGTGTTTTTCACAGCAAAAGTGAAGACATTTTCTATGATACGTATTAGATCAAATTGACTGTAAAGATGGAATACAACACTGGAAGCTTTTTTTATGTGATTTTTATATGCCAAATTTTGACATATTCGTAGAAAACCTGTTTTCATATTTGTAATGAAATAGCCACCCAAACGCAACTTAATTGAAAACCAAAGTTCATCAAATAGCACTCATTCAAATTCATGCTATTTGGATCTATTAATGAAAGCGCTCAAATGTACATCAAAAACCCATTTAAAAATACTAAAGTAAAGATGCACGCTTATATCGCACATCGTGTGAATGAATCACTCCTGATCACAGTGTATTCAATCACACCCATGATGGTCGTAATAGGTGATGGTATCTTTATCCAAATAGAATTAAATCAATAACAAGCATATTCAAATATGACAACTATGCCCTGCTGCCATAGTTGCACAATATCCCAGATAAAGGATTCCATGCTTCAATAACAAACATCACACTTTAAACCATCAAGGTTACATTAAATCATGCTATGACGATAGCTCACCCAAGCCCATCAAGGTTACTCAAATCGACCCTTATGGCCAGTGCTCCTGCATTGACTACCACTTTAAATCAAACATCAACAACATTTGCCAGATATCGCAATAGCAGCACCTATTGCTCTCTATCATCACTAATCCTACAAGCCAGATGCAAATGTATAAATACTCTTCTTTTTTTTACTCAATTCCAGGATCTTCAGTTCATTTTATACACAAAATAAAATACAGTTGATTTCTATTGTATTTTACCTTTGCTTTATTTTTTTTGTGAAATCTATTTAAACCTGATTTCACTGCAATATTTTTGCAAATTGCTCATTATTTTCGGTCAGAAAGCTGAATGTAATTAGCATTATTCGATGCGCCTTCATTGACTCTTTATAAATGCACTATAACGTAAAGTATTACAGCGACATTCTTTATGGTCAAACGAAGCAAAAACGTCTAAAGAATCTGAAATCAAGTCAAATTCGAACATGAAAATACCCACTGCACAATTTCAAATTAAAGTGCAGCAGTTGCGGCTGCCACCACGGCAGAAGGCTGTGGCCAAATCTACTGGTCGTGACGTCAGGTAGGGCGCCCTCCCATTTTTCCATGCCCTCGTTTTTTATCCTTTTTGTAAAACGCGTTTAGTATCAAACCATATAGGTTTTGGAACCCTTTTGGTTGAAAATAACACTCTAGCTTCTGATAACACGGCCTTGTACTGTTAAAAATACTTGATACTGCTCTTTTGAAGTGGAATATAGTAAGTATCGTTCGATAACTAGGACTGGAACTCGTAAAAGCAGCACTAATCGAATTTCTTTATTAGATTTCCATATTTTTTTTGCCTGTTTGATGTGCGTGCGGCTGCCATTGCTTCTCTGCTATCTCTGCTGTCTGCTGCTTTGGTTTATTATGTCTGGTAGCTGCTTCTTTAGTCTTTGTCTGATCTCTAGTGTTGCTCGTTCTTTGGGGGTTTTTATGGTATTGCTGATGGTATTGCTGATGGTCTTGCTGATGGTCTTACTGCTGCTGCTAGCCTGGTCTTTTCTGGTCTGCTATCTGTGATGTATGCTCGTTCTCTGGTCTATCTCTGGTGATTGCTTATTCTCTGGTCTATCTGTGGAGGTGAAAAGTGATGACTTCTTTGGTCTTTGTCTGGTCTCTGCTTGTAACTTTTGTTCTTTGGTTTTTCTAGAGTGCTGGTGTTGTTGTTGCTGCTGCTGCTGATCTGGTCTTTCCTGGTCTGCTGCATTTGGTGCATGCTCGTTCTCTGGTCTGTCTCCGGTGATTGCCCATACTCTTCTGGTCTATCTGTGGCTGTGGTAAGTGGTAAGTATGTTCTTTCTTCTGGTCGCAATGATATAAAACTTCTTTGAACGCTTATATTATTGCTTCCTTTCTTGTGATAATGCATTCATGATGTTTGCCTTGTTGCGATTTTTTCTTCTTCTTTTTCTTTTGTTGGTAGTGTTTCCTCTGTAGCTTTACATGAGACATCATTAGTCATTATGTTGTATCGCGAACTTATAATACCATTGTTGCTTTACATCCGACTATTACTACCATGCGCTTTGCTCATGCATGCATTTTTCTTGCAACAGAAACAAGCTTTTTTAAACATCTTTGATGTTGTGTTTGTTATGCTTTTTTTTTTTTTGACTCATTGTGTATGAGTACCCCTTTTTTGCCTACATACTCCTATACTCTTATAGTATTATGTTCTTTTCTTCTTTCTTTTATTATTATTATGTTTCTTTGAAGCATACCTTTTTTACGTTGTGTGGATGTGCCTATCCCTGAAGCTCAACAAGACTTTATCCGAGGCTAGGAGGTAGATAGGCCGCCTCCACTTGGTTATCGCTACTTACTTTAGTGATGATTGAGGGTCTCAGTGCCTGAATTTAAAGCTAGGTGGTGTAAGTAAGGCATGCTCTAGCACCTGGGGGAAATTTGATGATAGCAGCGGCTATATTGCTACTATAGCGGCGCTTAAAATTTTGCCTCACATCAAAACAGGGGGAAACCCTCGCAATTTTTTTTTGAAGTCAGCGGAGTTTTCGAGTGATTTGATTGGCTGAAGGGTCCAAACGGCGAAGGGTTTCAACTAGTAGATTTCATTTTGATCTATCGTATATAATTTTGATTTTGTGTTTGTAATAAAAGGGTATTATTGATGTATCCATTCTAAACTAAATCCTTGAATACGTAAAAAATAATCGATTTATGCGCAGACCACATCATATCATAAACTTTGAAATGAAGCAGGATTTAGTTACGATTCTAGTTATGGCAGCACGTTCAGGATAGTACATTGGATCTATTATCCTATCATTCAGATCTGTCCATCTAGCACCTTATTATTCTCACATCATCATCACATCCCTCAGTTCAAATAGTATATAAAAACCCCTCTTATATCCAATGTGATAAAAAAATATATTGTTTACCTGATTACTTTGCGTACTCGTTTTCTAGATAATTTACTTCTGATAAATCAAGCATTTTCCAAATAGATACAATTTCAAACGTATAGATAAGTTGCAATTGTTTGATGATCTAGCATTTATTAAACAGTGGCATGTAAGAGACATCTTTTAACTTTGTTATGTGGGGGAGATTTATAATTTGCTCATTGTTGCTGCTGGTTTTGCTTTTGTTTTGTATTGAGCAAGTGTTGCATCCCATGAGATTTCCATCTACTAATACTACTACCGAACTACTCTCTCTGTTGACAAACGAGTAGACAATTATACTCCACATTAAAAACGCAAATCTGTTTCAAAAATTAGTTGCTAACTGCACGAGCAACAAGTCTTAGTTCGGCCAAGCTTACAAGAGAGTGGATAAGACATTTACACAGCTTGTCCATTACAAGTGACATGATTATGAATGATGAAGGTGATAGACACGGTGTGGGAGCACTTTGCGGTTAAAACAGCTTGGCCATACCTTGCTTCGCTGTCGTGTCAAGTCAAAATAGAATGTAAAATTGGATCTGTTAAAGAATTACACTTTTATCGAGAATGCCATCAAAGGATGCATTTATACACTTTTCATTATGCTAGGCTCTAGAGTATAATACAAATATATTGACTATCTACCCAACAACTGATTCGTAAATCATATCTAGTATAACAATTTACCCAAGGGATTTAAGAATAGCTCACGGCCTTTAGTGTGTGGCCTTGGTAGGACATTTGATGTAGCATTATCATTGTATCCATCAAGGCTTCATGGCTATATGTATTAATCCATGTTGATACCAATCATGATATTTGACGTCCCTATATAAATGCTAGTCGATTTGATCTATCTCACTAATAAGCTTTGAAATTTTGTTATTAACACACTCTGTGTCTTTAATAATTTGTACTATAATAGCACGTTAACTCGCTTATAATTATTTGTGGCAATAGAATGATGGCGTATTATGAAAATAAGAAAAAGTAGAATATGTAACCAACAGTTCTTGTCAACGCAATGTTGCCATCACTACTACGTCCAAGCAGATGTATGCTGAATTCAGCCTTAGCACCTCATAGTTGGATAATGGGTCAAATTGGTATATATTCATTCATCAGTAAAAGCGCCATGCAATGTAATACAATAAAACACAAACTTAAGTATCGTCTGAAATACTTCATCAACCAGGGATACATCCCGAACCTCTCTATCCTCTATATCTTCTGCTGGACGTCTTATATTATTAATTCTCGTTTGAGATGAATGAGTTGCACCACAGGATCAATGCTAGTGATTGATATATGCTCTCTTGGTGTTGGTATTGCATAATATCAAGTCTGTGCAATACGAAATTTTATCTCTCAGTGCACTAATTTACTGAACTAAACATCATCATCGATATCATAATCGCTATATTAGACTATCACCGCAATACGAAATCAAGTTCTTGTATACATTTGCCATCAAAAACACACAGCTTCAATGAACTCTACTAGCTATTATCAACGTTTCATGTATCATTTACAAATGACAACCCCGGGAAGCTCAACATTGTAGGAAGATTCTACACTGGAACAAAAAAGAAATCCGCATTTCCACGAGCCATCACGAGCCATAACCTGGGTTGAAATGAACCATTGTGATTGGAGGTTCCCTACCATGATCCTGTAAATTTTGACTCATTTCAAAAGAGAGATGTCGGGTTGTTTACCTATCCCAATTAGTAATTTGTACACAACTGTTAAACAACAACATCCGAGGTTGATCTCAACGTAAATAAACATTGTGAGCTCCTCCTTCTCCCTGTTGCAACATCAAAAGTAGGCCAACGATATGTAAATCAGGGGAGCTTGTTATATAAAAGGGGGACATAAGACAGTTTCAGAAACATGTCGATTTAAATCGAATCTTCGGACAAATTTATATCCAGTCTATAAAGGGCCTAGCTTTGAAAGAAGCCTGTACAACTAGTCTTTTTGTAACGGAAAAAACCGACCACCCCCGCAAATCGTTTCCTTTTTCTTCGTTCATTTCTATTTTTTTTTTTTTTTTTTTTTCATCATTGTAAATATCAACACATCATGGCCTTCCGTTTCAACTGGCCAGAATTCGATCATGAATTTTATATCGAAGCAAAATCACAACTGGAAACTGCAATGAATAAAGGCAACAAGCCTTCTGTCATCGTAGACCACATCACAGTAAAGGAATTACATATGGGCACACAGGTAAAAAAAAAAAAAAAGGACACATTCTCTCTTTTGATGGAATTCCTCATTACTCACCATGTTACGTATGATAGCCTCCAGAGTTAGAGATACTCGAGATTGGAGAGCTTGCTAATGACAAGTTCCGGGGTATTTTCAAGTTGAATTACGCTGGCGATGCTTACATTGAGGTGCAAACTAAAGTCCAAGTAAGTTTTTTTTTTTTTTTTTTTTTTTTTTTTTTTTTCGTAGAGCAGCCATCCCTGTCATGATCGCATCAAACTTGTATCTCACACATTCTGTAGGCAAATCCCATGCACGCCAAAGTCTCTGAATTACCACGCCATTCCCGTCCCAGCATCCTTGCTGCTGATCAGCCCTTGGTAGTGCCTATGATTCTTCGCATCAGTGACCTCAAATTGCGAGGCATTGTCGTATTGGTCGTATCAAAGACCAAAGGAGTAACACTTGTATTCAAAAACGACCCCTTGGAAAGCATTCGCGTCAGCTCCACCTTTGATAGCGTCTCGATCCTCCGAGATTTTTTGCAACGTCAGATTGAAGCACAATTACGAAACTTGCTCCAGGAAGATTTACCGGTGATGATCCACAACTTGAGCTTACGATACATCCAATCCGAAGAAGAAAAGAAAAAATTGAAGGAGCAAGAAGAAAGACGAACCAAGTTATTACAGCAGCAGCAACAAGAGCGATTATCTGTTTCTTCTGAACCTCCTTTTACGATGCGTCGTGCATTTTCAAGTTGGTCCATGGCGAGCACGCCTTTCACTGCTCCACTGATGCGTGCTAGATCCAATACCTATTACAGCGATGATCTCACCATGCCTGAACTTGATGCAAACTATCCTCTGACGCCTCGATCGCAGCCTAGCAGCATTTGTACACCCCTCACAGGCACATTTGATTTGAATGATGACTATGCTTGCTATGATGACTATTTGACTGTGAGCTCTACGACAACACCAACCTTTCCGAATACTACGTACGAAAAGAGCGTTTCTCAGTTTGATTTAGCAGGTGGCTGCAGGACAGCGCCCATGACCGCCGCTAATCTCTTTACGCACAATCGTCAATACAACAACAATAGCATCAATCAATTGGGTATCAGTCCCTTATTCCATAAAGAATACCATCCCTTGACAGCCATGATGTACGCAGCACAACAACAAGATACATTATCAGAAACGGGCCTATCCACACCCTCCATGGCCGATATCTACAGTGAAGCAGATGCTCCCTGGTACGCTGTCGAGGGACCCGAATTAGGCCCATCGTACATTGCACCTGCAGAGACTGAATTTTTGGATGATAAAACCATTATTTTGAAGCCATCAGACAACACGATGGCAGCTAAATTATCGCTGCTGACAAGTGTCAACTATACCTTATCCCCTCTCACCGAGTCGATATCAAACTTTACTTTCCGTAGCCTGCCGCATGTGAAAAAGTCAAACAGCACCCTATTGCGCAACAAGAAAGTGCCAAAAAGACGTATTACAAGACTGAATATGTCTGTGCCTCGCCTTTAAAGAGGTTCGAGTAGCTTATTATTTATTTAGATATTTGTGTAGTGTATAGAAAATCAAAATATCCCCCCTCTCTTATTTTTTTTTTTTACCAGGAAAAATAAAATACTTGTACATTTGAATATAAAATATCAATCTTGACGTATGATTCTCTGCTTGTTAATATGGCACGCTGTCTTGCTCACTCTGACATGATCTTGCAAGCGGCCCAATGTACCGTCAATGTGAGTTTCGTAGTGATGAAGGTCCAAATGTCTGGGAGAGATTTCAATTGTGGAGAATCCGTAGCCTTGGAAACGATTGCCAAGCCAGCTTGGTATCTCTGTGTCTTTATCAAATACATCCCCGCCTTCGTAGTTTCCAGCGTTGCCAGTGATCACTTGAAAGAAGGAAGGTGCATTGTGATAGGATCTGGTGAGTGCTGTATCATTTCGAACGGGAAATGTCCTTTCATAATTGTGTTTATGTCCACTATTTAATAATGTGTCAATACTAGATATTAGTTGATGCTCCATACTATCACTTGCCATAAATACATGTCCACATTGTACTTGACCAGCAACGATTCCAATCCTTGTTGCTTTGAATGTCCAAATCGCAGGGTTTCTGCATTCTCTTTACAGTCAGGATTTGATAGGATGGAGCAGTACAGCGGTCTATGTCCAATGACGATGATCCAAGGCACCTTTGCTCTGCGTCGACTTGCTTTGATCAAATCACTCTCCAACCATTGCAGCGATGTTTGGACTTGCGCATCGGAACCCTCGAAAAAGACTTCTGTAGCAAACGAGATCAAATGCAGTGATTTGTAATCAATAGAATACTGCATGGCATTATCGAAATTGGATTCATAGTACGGCATCAGGTCGAATCTAGTGTGTAACCGCAGTTTAGTTTACTTGCATCAATGAGAAATAAAGTATCACCTGCCTGTTTTTGTAGTGCGAGAAATTATACGCCTCTTCATGGTTCCCAGCTGTTGTCAGCAGAGGCACATTAGCATAAAAGTCTTGAGCAAAGTTCATGTACTGATCTCCTTTGGTGCCGTTGAAATCATCCAGGTTGTAGCCTTGGTCTCCCATGATGGCAACAAAATCATAGTCATGGTTTTGCGCTAACTCTTTAAACAAAGGCATGGACACAGCATTAGCGACACCCTAATTAGTAGCGTCATTAGTGGACATATCATTATGGCTGCTTGATCCACCTACCAGGTCTCCAGTGGCTAGAAATTTAAACGACACTGCATCCTCCTGTGGTGTGTGAAATTCGTATGTGTTTGATACAAAGACCTGATCCTTGTCCGTGGTTTCAATGTTGTACTTGTAGATGGTAGAGGGCACAAGCTGCTTTGATGTGAATGTGTGCATAAACTGACTCTTCTTTGCAATGCCACCATCCACAAACTCCCAGTTCAAGTTCTCATAGACGACATCATCGTTGTCTGAATCATACCAATAATGCAATCGAGAGTTCTCTACTGAAGATATGGTGGAGAATTGCACTCGAATGGCTTTTCCGTTGGATACCCAGGATGTGTGAATCTGTTGTGGTTCTGCAGGATGGTAGGTGCGATTCCAGTCTCCATGTTTGTTGTATAAATCGGTAGATGGCAGTGTCCCTGGTCCACCGTAGCATATCACTGTTTTATTATTGATAACCAGTGCTTTAGCAGTGGCGGTGAGGATGGATGTGATCAGCAATAAAATGTACATGAAGGAATGAATGAAAAAAAAAAAACCAGAGAGGTGTGTCATTTAATGTATTTTTTTGATTCAGTTTTTATTGTATATCAATGATGTCTCCTTTAACAGGATTCTGTGCTAAATGCCATTGTACTGCTGATGCAGGGGAATTTGATAGTGTGTACAAGACAGAATGTATAAAGTCTGGAAGGAGGAGCACTCAGCGAAGATCGTCATCAAAATCGCTACCTCCAATGTCAATATCCTCATCGTCTTCATCATCGTCGTCTTGATCCACAGCAGCTACAGATGATATGGCTGTCTTGACCGCCTTGAGTGCATCTTTTCCATCGTTATCCTCCCCGTCGTTGTCTTCGTCTGTGGTGCCTGTAGCCATCGATTTAGCAGCAGAGTGTTGCATTGATTCGGCTTTATGCTCCACCACGACATTATCCAGTACCTCTTCCTTTCTGATGGTATTGGATTTCTTGTTAGTATGCGTTGTTGCTGATGCTCCTGCTGTTACTGTTGATGAGTGAGCTGTATGAGACGATGTAGGTCGTTTAATAGTAATCGTAGTGCCAGATCCACCACTTGACTTCTTGATGGCCACACTAGCAGATGACTTGGTATTGTTGCCCCATTTACCTCCACTACTACTGCTGCTGCCGCTGCTGCTATTCTTCTTTCGCGAGTGCGATGACTTGGTCGCTTTGGGCGCAGGCTCCTCTTTATCCTTCTCAGCAGCAATGGAACTTCTTCTGCGTTTCTTTTGCAAATCACGAGGATGAATGTGCATTGGCTGTTTGGATGTCACTCTGTTGAGGATCTCTTCCAAGTTGATGGTAGGTGGCTGTGGTGGAGCTGATGGTTGCTGTTGTTGACTGGATGAGGCTGAGGTAGCTGATTTTCTTGACTTGTCGTCTGCTTCGGAATCACTCTCTTCTTCGTTGGATGAAGCAACAGCTGATGAATCACTGGAATTCACGATATCTACATCACTGTCTTCCTTCTCACTGACACCACTACTGCTGTTGATACTACTAGCACTGGCAGACGAATTGTTGCGATGTGAATTGTGGTGGTGGTGGTGGTGGTGATGCACTGCTTTGGCAGGCAGTACAGGTTCATCCTTGTCATCATAGCGACCCAGCAGAGGAGCCTTGTTGCCTAGCATACCATTGGATTTCAGCGCCTTGTGAGGATGTGTCAATAGCAACTCTTGCAACTGTGCAGCTGCCATACTGCCCGACGAAGAAGACTGACGCGAGATGGGAGGCACAATGAAGCCATTGTTCTTGGTTTCTGATCTTAGAGCAGCCAGAGCCAATGCTGTGAGACGACTGTCTCGAGCAGGTTTGCGCGTGTTGATTTGAATAGGCAGAGGGGATGGAAAGTACGACTCGATGGAATCCTCCAGGAAATGACCTAGCTTGTGCTGAATAGAGCAAGTAACAGCGAGTTCTTGTGCACGACGCAACGGAATCCAGGTACCAAACAACTGACTCTTCTTTTTGGGCATCCGTACACGCTCCATTTCGAAGCTGAGAATCATACTGCGCTCACTTTCTGTTTCGATTCCACCTGCAGTCAAGAGAACAGTGCCGTTGATGAACCCCGTATCCACACGACGCATAATGCGATATTCAGGAGTGGTGTCTGTTTTCGGTAATACAACGATACATACTGCAATATGATCTATCAGGGTTATATACATGGGTGGATTCATGGTGGTTAATGTATGCACAATGGGTTCCGTACTGCCTGCAGTAAATGATGGTGCTGTGGTGGTGCTGGGACTAGGGGCGCCACTAATCAAATTGGGAACAAAATCAGAAGGTGTTGCTGAGGTGGAGGAGGAGGCGGAAGAAGAAGAAGTGGTGACGGGGGCTGCTGCGATGGCTGTAGTGGAGGCGGTAGGCGACATGAGGGGCGGTGTCGCTGTGCCACTGCCACTAGCAGGTGATGGCTCCTTTTTGATGAATGCTTCCAGCGCAGGAAATCGAGCCAAGATGGTTTTGAGATCCATGGCATGAGGCGAGTTGGAAGAAGACGCGCTGGCATTGGCTGATTTCGCAAGTGATTGCATGTAAGCTGCCATGGTTTTAGCCAAATCAAATGTAGGCGATAAATGCTGCAAACTAGGAATATTCGATGTCATTTGATGCAGTGCTGATAAGTTCATGTTTTGAATGTTCATGGATTTCAGAATTTCTGCTGCTGATAAGGTAGTCGGTGTAGCGGGTAAGATGTCTGTCACCTTCTTGGCAGTTGCTGCTGCCGCTGGTAGTGGTGGTGTTGCTGGCGTAGTCAGTGTGGTATTGATGGGAGCAGGCAATGGGGGCCCAGATGTTGTTGGAGGTTCCTTTTTCTCATCGTCTTCAAACTTGACAAAATCCTCGCCATTGTCTACGTCCATTAAGCTGGAACTACTGATAGGTGGCTGTATTAATTTGGGCACTGTCGCTTCCGATTTCACTTGTGTAGCCTTCCCCTTATCAGCATTAATCGACGGTGTGGTAGAGGCAGTTTTGGCAGTATCCGTTGCAGTAGCAGTTGTTGCTGCAGCAGGTGTGCTAGGCGCACTGTCTGTACTTGCTTTGGCAGCTAGCGATGGTTGCTTCGTATCCCCCTTGTTGTCTGATCCAGCTTCATCCTCTTCGTCAATCTTATCAGCTACTCCCCTCGCTGCACTAGCTAAAAGAACTTTTTGTAATAGTGATTTATCGTTTGGACCAAGCATGGCTGATGAGAAACTTTTCCGCTGCGTTCTTGTGGTTGTATTTGATGTGCTTGCAAAGTAGTCGTCCAATTCAGATACTGACACAGATTCAGGCGTTGCAATGTGAAATGGAATATGATGCGCAGTGGAAGCATCTTGCAAGAAGACGTTATCAAAATCATGTTCAAAACTAAATGGCGTCCACAGCTCTTGGTCTCCAGGAAATCCACTGCTGAATGAGAAGGATGGTTTTCTGGTGCCGTTGCTATTGTCTAATGGTGGTGGTGCCAGTGATTTGGATGAGGAAGGTGATGATGATGGCGGTGGTGGTATGGCGGCCGCTGTAGTTGCCCGTGTATGTGAGGTGGTGGCAGTGTTTTTGGAGGATGTATCTTGTGTTGTAGTTGGGGGTGGTGATGGAGGTGTAGTGTGGGTTATAGTTGTATTAGTAATGTCGGTATCATGCGATTTTGATTTGGATGGAGCAGTGGAAGTGGCAGTAGAGGAGGGTTTGTTCAATGCAGATTTGCTGAGTGTGGAGGTTCGTCGAGAGAAGCGTCGCCCAGGATGAATTGGCACATCGAGTTCAGCATCGTCTCCCTTTAGCATCTCTTCGTGGTAGTCTGACAATTCTCCATCGCTGTTGTCTTGATCCGCGTCGTTTGCTGTCGATGTCTGAGGAGGCGCATAGCCAGCAATGGTGGATGGCTGAGGCTCTTTTTGGCTAGGATGTATCGATGTGGAGTGTCTATTGCTGTGTTTTAGCTTTTTCAATACATGCTCATCGTCGTCCTCTTCTTCATCGTGCTCATTATCGCCGTCATCCTGTTGCTCTTCCATGATGGTGCGCGATCTCAACTTTTTAGTAGGTGTGATTTTGCTTGATCTACGAGGTTTCGAGCTAGATGCTGCCTCATCGTGTTGGCTGTCTGCTGCAGTGTTTGCTGCGGTAGTTGTATCATCATGTGTTTCTGTCGCTGAACCATCATTGGGCACAGAATCAGTAGCAAGTGAATAATTTATCTTTCTAGAGTGATGTTGATCGACATGCTTGGCCAATAGCGGCGCTCTGGGTGGATTGTGTTCTGCAGCTCGTTTGAAGTGTTGAGATATACGAGAAGAGACTGTAGCAAAAGGCGTGGCACCACTAGTAAAAAAAAATAAATAAACGTGTCAGCGCAAGATAGCAACATGGACACACATTTGAACATGACATACCCAAGTGTCGCATACTTGTGCTTAACAATTGTGTTGGCAAGCTCTTTGGGTGAGCTTGGTTTGTTGCCCATCTTCAACAAGGCTTTCAATATAGCGGTGAATACTTTGTCTTTGGCATCATCTGGGTGAATGGAAACAGGCAATTCATCTTTTGGCTGCTTCGACTTTTGATTAACATGACTTGTTGCTTTTTGGGGCATTTTGTCACAGAAATAAATTAAACGTGGATTCTTTTCTTCTTGTCTTTTTCTGAGAATGGTTTAATGAGTTAACTAAGAGAGCTGGGAGGGTATTTTTTTAGTGTGAAAAAAAGAAGAAAAATAAGAATGATGATCAAAATGAGCTGGGGATAAGAGCAAGAGGGAAAAAAAAAAAAAAAAAAAAAAAAAAAAAAAAAAAAAAAAAAAAAAAAAAAGAGGCCTCTTGTCTCAAAACAACACTGGGTTTCAAAACAACATGGTTTGTGTTTGTGCGTATGATAAACTAAGACCATTTGGGGCCGATTTAACCAAGATGGATCTACATCCACTTTTTGTAGACCTTGCCAGTGACTACAGTCGAGCATGAATCAGCCATTGCCATGTCGTCTGTTTATCTCACCATGTTGTCATGGCTCTTGTTCTCTGTCTCTTTCAATTCGCATTCCGTTGGTGGATCTATAACCCATCACTCACGTCAGCAAATGAACTAAATTTATATCAAAAAGGCGAAGGTTACTACTGTCCATGATGGACATCTCGATTTGTCTTTTCATTTTCTTGGTCCAAGCCCTAGAAAACAACTCAATCACAAAGCTATGCATGCCTTGTACACTAGTCTACTCGCTCGGAAGTCTTGACATGTTCATGTACACATGTCTGCTTGTTGCAGTGTTTCCATGGCATTTCCATGTAGTTTGATTTTACAACGGAGCTTGGCACGTTTGTCATACTTGAATTCAAAAAGGTGTGCTCAATCTCAAATGGTTGAGAAACCCCGAATGACAAGCTCCTCATCATGGCAACGGATTGCAATTTGACAGGTGCATTAAAGTACAGTGCCAAGGTAACCAAATTTTTGACAGGTGGTAAAACAAGCAAATACAGGATGGCCTTTCGGTGGACATGGTTCCCTTAGATGTATCTCTTCATCAATTTTGTAAAGAAGCTATCCAATGTAGATAAGGCTTTTAGACAACTGTATTTATAAAAACATTGGTTTTACTAGACTCACGAATGGACCACATGGTTATCACTGATCAACGTGAATGAGTAAAGGCTGTGAACCCATCTGGTATGAATGAACACCAAAATGGCCTGATGCTATTGCAGTTCAACTCTACTCGATACATGTCTGTGTTCATGAGCAGATTATTGCATTGATCTTTTGTGATTTCTTGCATGGAATTTTCTTTAGTCACATAATTTATGGCGGAAGACCTTAGCATTTAGTTATGCGCCAAATTTTTGGTTCAATAACATAGTTATTGTCCAAGCAAGTTCCCGTCCTTTAATCCAAGTAAATACGAGATATATACTTTAATATCAACTGTTTCTACAGCTGTGATAACGTATAATAGAGCTATCTTAATAAATGGGCTTTAAAATTCTCCAAATACTCCAAAAAGGCTCGGGAATGCGTTCGCATCCCTGAGAAACTTTGCTAGGCATTCTTTAATAAGATAAAATGTATGATCAATATACTGAAGACGCTTAGTATCTCATCAATGAAATATCATCACTCCATTTAATCCATTCAAGTCAACTATATAAACTTCAAGAAGAGGTCTCATTCAAGATTGTTTTTTTTATACCTTTTGTTTTCAATCAATACAATCCCAATATGCCTCGCCTAACAATCAAAAACAAAACTCAATCTGAAATTTATAGTGGCAAAGCTCACGAGGACCACTGTGATGAGTTGGCAGTCAAGTAAATCCTCACTTCTTGACAATATGGAGACGCAATAAGGGCCGTTTGCAGCATTCAGAAAAAAGCGCACTTGTGGTAATCGTCAGCGACAGCGATATTCCAAGTTTTTTGAACGAAGATGACAGCTTTTCCACCGAGTTGCAACAGAAACATGATCGCAAAATGGAGAATCAAGCTTACAGCAAGATCATCAAGAATCGATTGTATAACAAACTGTAACGTGTGTCTACAGATAAATCGAATTTCTTCTGTTCTGCGAGAGATACTTTGCATCTCTGCCACTATCCGAACGCTTCCAAGCAAACAAAAAACACTGCTTGTATTCATGATGAAGTAGGTAGGTTTTCATTAAATATACACTAGTGTTTACGCTTCGGTGAGAACCAACCTGCGCAGCGGCAACTTGCGCTACTGACTGCCCTTGCGTATTTTATCAAAATACGGCTACTTTCATTTTGGCCCTCCACTTGCACATAAAAACCCTTCATATTATCTGGGGATCTAATTCTTATGTGATGCTCTACATCCATATACACGTAGCTACTCTATATACGGGCAAGTAGCATACCGGTATTTCTCCTTTTTAGTCCTTAGTGTCCCTGATACAGCAAAATCTGAGTGCATTTAAGCCGCGTTTTCTCGCGTTCAAGGTCGTTTTAGATTGTCATAATAGCACCAAACAATTGCTCTCATATGGCAGTTACTTTCTGACACCTTTGCTCAACTTTTTGGGGATCAAAAAAAACATGATCGAAAATCGACCAAAAAGCATGAGGTACCCCTCATGGCTTTCATTGAAAATCGAACGGTCGCATTTTTCACCTTGATAACGAAGACTTTTACTATGGTATATCTTGAATCAAAATGTTGCTATCAATCCAACGTAACCCCTGAAATCATCTTTATGGGACCTTGATATGTAAAACTTCGACATTTTGGCCAGAAACCTCTTTTCATATTTTTGTAAATTAATCAATAAGCTTATTCAAAACATTGATCTTGCTTGGTACCATTGGATGCGCCTTGAAAAGTACTCCAAGAAAGCTTAAAGAAGCAAAGGTTGATTATCATATTTTAAATAGTCGAATATAGCAAAATAGTTCGATCGAGTCGAAAATCCTGAAGATTTAACCAATCTAGAACTGACTATGAGCCTGGGTTTGAATCAATTTTTGCTAGTGAGGCCGACTGGCAAACTCAATGCCCTTTTCATCATGAAGGCAATACAGTAATAGATGCTTTTGAAGCGTATGAAAAGCAGGTATCAGTTATCTAGCACTACCGCTATTTATGCTATCTCTCTTGCATTTTATATTTAATAACGCCAGTCTATCAAAACGCTAGTTAGATCAACTTCTTTTCCTTTTTGAAGCTTTGAAAGTGTCTAGGAACTATGAATTTATTATGTTATGATGATGTACATATTGCCACCAACTAAATGCTTACATCCCCCATAGATTGTAGAGCGATAAAAGGAATCCAAGGACTCAGATGCTGTTAGAATCAATCATGCCGTTCTGTACCACCTATTATCCTTGGATCACGATCTTTACTCATCCAATGGCATCACAAGACGACAGATGTGAATGCTTTGAAAACAATGGAGCAAAGATTTAGCATCCTCAACAACTTCATCAAGAGGAGCAATATCTGGAGCCTATTCCAAGAATGCAAGCTCACTTTTGTTGGCTGCTTTATGCTCTCCAATCAATATTATTTGCAACTTGTTGATTACAAGGTCGCACAGCATCTTAAGCAAGCAAAGTCTGTCCAGGAGAAACTGGTTGGAGTCGATACCCAGGCCTATGATGCTGAAGAACGAATGGCTAAGGCGCCAAGTAAGGACATCAAAGGTAAGTGTCAAGCATATACAGCCATGACAAAGGAGTTGAAGCAGTTGGGGCTAACAAGAATGGCGGCTGGTATCAAGTCGAGGGCTTACAAAAGGAAGAGCAAGAAAAGGGGCACGCAATTATACCGTGATCTGGCAATTGCTCCCAAATCCTTCAGCAAGGTTTACATGAAAAGGAGCAAATCCTTGCATGACATGCGAGAGAGCCAGTCAAAGGTATTTGCTTTGAACAAGAAAATCAATGGTAAGCTTATTCCAGCCCAAGGCCCTCTAATTGACGTCAACATCATGCCTACTCTGGCTGACCCATTTACAAGTATCCAAGGTATTGATCTAGGTGTTGTTACTGTTGCACCTGGAGTAGCTACCTCTCTTTGTTTCCCTTTCGAAGCTGTGAACAGATTCCAAGCCATCTCGGATGATCAGACAGTGCCCCACTCGAAGGACGCACTCGCAGAAGCACCAAAATGTACTATCAGCAATTTGCCACTGGTACCAGCGACTCGGCCTTGCCTGTAGACGAATACAAGCTCACAATGGCCTGCTCCTCTTGTTTCCAAAGAACCCGCATGCAACCACAAATTCGAAACGGCAAGCTAAAGAAACCCCCTTTGTGCTTCTATCACTAAGCGTTTCAAACGAGAAAACTGGTTCAACTGATTTGCCAAGTAGTCGAAGTCGTCAATAGCGTATTCATAGTGGAACGTCTTGAATTGGGTACCTGCAAGCAAAAGCGAGACCATGTTCTCTTTCATGGCAACCATAGAACGATTGTAATCACGCAATAGTTTAGTGTGCTCAAAGTCGCTGGGCACTATTCCATTCTCATATTGATGTAATTTTCCTTCTTCCTCGTATAGATACTGCAAGTGTAGAACATACTTGTCATGTAGATCGCTTACCCATAGCTGTGCCAGGTTGATGCAACCTCGAATCACATCATGATCATAGCCCCTAGTGAGATCTACACCTTTGGCGACTATAGCAATTTGGACGTAGTCTCCACAGCGACTGTCCAGTTCGTTCATTGTGTAGAAGAATTGGTCACTATTCTGCTCGTAAAGGTCAATTTCATAATATCAGACCTTGTTAGCAGCCTGGCTCCAGTTCTTGCTGATATGATTGAGCCCGAGAGGGGCCAACATGATAATAGCAGGGCCTTTGAATATGATATGCAGTAGTTCTTGAAGTAAGTTGTTCCAAGAGCGTTTCATTGTTGTTGTAGTGTACTGGTTTTGATATGACTATGCTGTGTCACTGGGCCGCTAGGCTTGGGAACTTGACAGCCCTGAGGATGCATGACGTTATCGATCAATGTTTAGACTGAGAGCCCATTGCGTCAAAGACAAGTGAAATGGTACTTGATGCTTTTGTATTTCATAGGGCATACCAAGACAAGCATGGTTCCTTTTATTCTGCATAGTATAAGTTGAATTTAGGATACTGTCATGAAATTTGATACATTTGAGGTGCCATCTTGGGTTGATTTCTATACTTTTTGAGTTTAATGGCAATCTGCAGGATATATCAGCAATTTACGCCATGTATTCAATGCTCAAGTGCGCTTGACATTGGCCTGAGATGCTCGGTACATAACAGACAGAGTTGCATGAATGTAGTTTCTGTAGCGCAATGAGGCTTCAATCAAAGATACAGAGCTCAGAATAAGACTGCCGTTCTTTCTTGCCTATCCAATGGCCTCCAATCTAAAAATGTATAAGAGGGGAATTAGTCATTTAGTTGCCAAAAGAAACGAGATTTTACAATTCTTTTTTCATATATTTATTGCATATTATGCTTGAGCACCACTCAACAGTCGATAAATATCATAATGCTAATGACGGATTCACTACACTTGACACCAAAATGAAACAAAGCCTGGACGGCTTGACACATATCCAAACTCTCCTGAATAACAAACAAGCCGCAAGCGCAATAAATCAAGATCGCATATCTCGGTTAGAGCAAGATCACCTTGATCTGCAATCGCAGCTGGCCCAAAAAGATGCATTACTGCTACGAAATCAAAAAAGCTTAGAATCTGAGCGAGAAAGATATACACAATTAGAGGAAAAGCTGAATACACTCACTCGACAATTCAAACTGCAGCAAGAGAAATCTCAACAAGAACTGAACCAGTTACAAACCAAGAACAACATTTTAGAGCTTGAAATTAGCGACCTTCAGAATGAAAATAACAAATTGCAAGTGGAGAGCAACAACCTACGATCCAAAGTGAATGATTTGGATAGCATGGCGCACAAATTAAAGGCGATGAATGAATCAGAAGTGCAGAAAAGAGAACAGTTAGATATGCTTCTCCGAGACAGTGCTCAGGAAGTCAAAAACACAGCAGATGCTGCTCTGGAACGCGACCAACAGATTGAGGCTCTTCAACAGAATGTGGATCGCATGAAACAGCGAATAGATGAAAAGGATCGTCTACTAATGACATTTGCATCCAAAGAGTCGGATGAGTTGAGTCAAATGCAAGAGGAGATAAATTTATTGGAAGAGGTCAACAAGAGGCTAACCAAGGAGCTTCATGATGCCAAAAGAAAACAAGCCCAGGATCAACAGCAAAAGGAAGATGATACCAGCAATATAATCATGTCTTTGGAACAAGAATTGATCGCTTGTCAATCACAATTGCTAGAAAAGAAATCGCAGAATCAGGAATTAGAGAGTGCAATGGAACGCGTGAACACACATTGTGATGTGTTGAGGGCGAATCTGAGCCACGTAACAGAGGAATCAGCAGAGAGATATCAAAGGATGTTGAGTTATAGGGATGAAATTAGAACATTAAAGCAAGCTTTGCATAGCGTATAGTTTATATTGCATGGTTGTTAGGCTCTGGTTGTTCTGCTCGGTAAGCAGGATGTCCAATGAGTTGTGAAAGAGCTTCAGCAATTTTATCCTTTCCAGTAAATAAACTGCATTCGTAAAACCACCCAGGCCTTGTAGGTTTGTCTAGTTCACTCCAACAATCATATATAGCCTGCAGGCATGATGTGGTTAATGATACAGGCAAGAGGATAGGCATGTATATCATACCTGCGCTGTAGTATCCTTGAATCCATCGTGAAGAAATAGTACGTCCAACATGAAATTGTTTCTTTTTCTCATATTTGTAAATACATCATTTTCAGGCAATGTTGGTAGAGATGATCGACCGTAAATGACAATTGCTTGATAGTAGTAATCCACATTCTGCAGTCTCAATTTTGCATTTAATGTATCTCCCAAAGATTGCATATCTACATGGCATGTGGGTTGAATAAGGAAATAGAATCTGGCGCATTTATGCCACTCACCAAAACCAACATAGGTTCTCAACCGATCTTCGGAAAGGCCATCGATTTCAGTGTTGAATACAGAAGCGTTTATGGTGAAATCGACAGACTATCAGGCATATCAAGCTCAATGAAAAATCAAACACTATGACCCTGACTTACCCAAACCGCTACATCTGTCAATAACACAATTGCATATTCATCTTTGTCATTTCCGATCAGCTTGTTCGTAGCGACATAGCGTTTCAAGAATCTTTTAACTGTCTCTAAACGTGAGCTTATACAATGGAGTCAGTGTCATCCACATTATGAGAACACATCTTCATAGAACATACCTCGAGTATAAGTTTGTATCTTTCACGCCTCCATTTCCGGATGCTCTTAGGATTTCATTCATCTCATCAGACATATCTATACAAAACACCTTTTTTTTTGAAAAATTTGAATGAGCTGTTAGGAAAAGATGGTCCTTGTTAAATTTACAGTTGTATTTTGGCATTTACGATTCTTCTTGCGCTGTACTGATAGACATTTTTGGTGGGCTTGTCAGTCATTTCCAAATCATCCATAATTTCTATTACATCGTCCATTGTTATTTTTTGTAAGAGACACAAGCGCGCCACTATCAAACACACAGAAGAGCAATATGGAAAACAAAATATCAAATCACGTGATCACTGACAAATATTGTATTATCTTTTTTAATTTTTTGGTCTCCAAGATCATCAAATTGTCTAGCTAGCTCAGTTTAAAGATTGTTTTATAATTGGGCACTCGGTATGAGCATATACCATAGAACTAGTAACTATATAGACTAAAGAAAGAAAATCTCAACAGAGACAACGGAAAAAAATGAGGAAAAAGGTTTGAGATGGCAGTAAAAGAGCAGAAGACTACTTGCAGTGGCACGATTGATCTTGAGGGGTAAACCAACGGATGGGAACTTTGATTTGACTTACCACCGAGGCGCCGCACAAAGAAAACAATCGGCCAAACGTTCATCTCAGTTAGCCATGAGACGGAGGATAAAACCACAATGGTCCGGGATCTGGATCAGAGGCGATAGTAGCCAAAGGGTGGATCAGAGGCGATAGTAGCCAAAGGGTGGACCAGACAGTCGATTGCATGAAGCAAAGACAGCAACGCAGACCAGTACACTGGAGGACCAGCAGAACCACTTATAGGCAGCATGTTGAGAGCATTGTCAATGACATGTACACCAGGAGGAGCAGCAGGCAGAGCATCCCACAGATCACGATCCAAAGCACGACATTGAGGGAAATGATCTCGAGAGATGAGAGATCCATCCATGCAGGGACATTCCTCACGCATGTTTGCAAAACGACCAAGACGCCAACGAACCAAACGACTACGAGCAGATCGACCAATAGGTAAATACAGTATGGGATCAAGGCGAGAGGCAGAAGGACGGCACGCACGAAGCAGGACATGTTTACCAGTAGTAGTAGCAGCAGCCAGTTGTTGATCCACCTGATTTTGCCAGAGGTCAGAGAAATGAGTCTTGAGACCAGCAAATGAAGGGACAGGGTCAGGCAGAGATCTATACAAACTGTTTTCACAGATATACCGATCCAATCGAGTGTACGACAAAGCACCACGCAGAACCACCACAAGACTATCCTCAGGTAGAGTAGCCGAGCGAAGAGAATACCTAGTTGCCAAAACATTATACCGATGTTGTTGCATACAAGCATGCATCTTAGGCTACATTCACTTTCTCCTCAAGCTACACAAACTCATCTACCACCGGCAGCGGCTCATTGTAAAGGGTCAGACGAGTACCAGAGAGGGCAGCAGGAGAACCAAGCACAGCACATTTAGATGGCTTCCACCTATAACCAAGACAGACAGAGTGTTCAGCAGCAAGATCCAACATAATAGACTGGACACCAGACAAAGACCCAAAGATAGCAACATCATCGGCAAAGAGCAAGCTATTGATGGCAATAGGACGACTAGTGTGGAATACATCCACTATGATCTGCATTCCGACAGTTCATCCAGTTACCAGATTTAGATATAAACTGTATGTACACTGGATTAGATGTACGATATCGATTTATACTATGATCATGAGAAGATATGGACTTCAGATACGCTAGTACTATAAGATTCATACTATATAAGATATAGGCTATAGATGGCACCACGGACATGGATGGCACTATAGACTTATACTTGTATTCCGACATTAACTACGGATGTTTACCATATCTGGATAGGCACCAAGATTAATGCAATATGAGCTTGTTGCTTCAGATGTGCACTTCATGATCCACGCTATAAGACACATGCTTATATCCGTGATACTAGCTACAGATACTTTATGTACTACAGACTTGTACTATATATGAGACATGCTATAGACATGCATACGATATGCTATAGACATGCCATATATCCAGATACATGCTAAAGATGTATGCTTAGCGATATACACTCAGATATGTACTATTAATATAGACTAAGAAGACTGTACCTATCGGATACATGCTACTAGATCGATATTAATTATCCTTATGGAAAGGATAGATCAGGGTACTTCGGATGAGAGTCTAATTATTCATCCAGACAGAGCTAAATCATGATTAGCTTGCTGGAGTTGTCTTTTAGCATGATTAGACATTAGTTGATCTGAGTTGACTTATTTGTCAATCTAATTAATAGAACTTTTATCCATTGTTATAGTATATAAGAAGGATCATCTACCTGGCCAGTAGAGAGACTTCAGTTTACTTTACACCTGTCAGTTTGATAATAAAATATACCTTTATCAAGTTGACATTACTGTTTTTTTATTCTTTTTTTTCCGTGAATTTTAGTCTGTAAAGCCTCAAATTCCACATTTTTTTCAACTCAAAGGTTATCACTTTTACACTTTATCTTATACTCTACATTTTATTATTCTACTTTAAAAACTATTTTTATCATGTCTCACAACCAATACAACGCTACCGAAAACACTCAAGAGGATATTGCTCAAGACTCTATCCGTGTTTCTTCTCCTTATGACTCATCTATGCAAGTGGATGAGCACGCTCAACTTTCTGCAGTTGATCATCTTCTCAAGAAGATTGACACTGCTCAGGCTCGCTTGGATCAGATCCATCGTAACGCTGGTGATACTTACACTGAGGAAGAACGCTTGGCGGCTGATGAAGCATCTGCGTCTATCGAATGGCTCAGCAAGCAAGTCAATGCGATTACTAAGAGGGCTGATTCCAAAGCAAGACCTGTCAATCTCAATGAGATCCCCCGTTTCCAGGTGGTAGGACAAGCTAAGCATTGGCCTGACCATCCAAGATTCACCACAGTCGATCATTTCTTCAGTGCTTTTGAGAACGTCATCAGAGCATCCGGTAATGAAGTAAATTTGGTTTGGAAACGCTACGTGCCTGTTTCACTGCCATTTGACTTCGAATCATGGACCAAGAATGATCTTCTGGCATGCAATGATTGGGATCAAGCCAAGGCATTGTTCCGCAAACATTTTGGTGCTCCCATCAACTCTGAGGAATCCATGGCCAAACTCTTCAGCATGCGCATGAAGAACAAAGATACTCTACAGGACTATACGAATAAGTTCATGAAGTACGTCAAGGATTGTGGCTTCCCTCCTAACAGCAACATGTTAGCCAAGTTCTATCAGTTCACGCTGTTACGCAAGAATCAGCAAATGATGGTCAACCAAATGTCCGTCAAGCATGGTTCCAACCACAAATGGACTATCAACGAGATCTATGAGTGTGTGTTGCCTTTGTTCCTTGTTGACGAGCAAAATCGTGGTGATGATGATGTTGAGGTCGACATCAGAGGTAAGTGTAAGGGTGGTTCTGGTGGTTCTGGTTCGAGAACAAAGATGGCAAGGGTATCTGCCACTGGGTATTTCTGTGCGAAGCATGGCGGGAGCAATGCCAACCACAACACCATTGACTGTAAGTCAAGATTGAAGCACTTTGGCTCTGACAACAAGCCTAACCGGGCTACTACTGCTGCTCCGTATTCTATGAATTCCTCATCCTCTGATCCCAAAACCTGCAACTTTTGTGGTAAGCCCCGTGCTTACGGTCATCGTTGTCAAGAGTTCTACGACTGGAAGAAGGAGAGAGAATCAAGGAAGAACATTGGTGTGCATACTGTACAAACAACCACTGTTCGCAAGGACAACAAGTCTGGTTCTGGTTCTGAGACCAACGATGTTACCATGGAAAGTAGCACTGATTCTGACATTGGTGATGCTGTTGGAGATGTCACCATGGAGGAAATAGATGCTTGCTTGGACGAGATTGAAGCAGAGGATGCCTCGCTCAACTGTAAGTCTAATGTGAAAAATGTACCTGAAAGTTTCAATCCATTTCAGTTACTGACTCCTATTATTTTAGAGAGCAAAGAAGGAAAACCAGTCCGTTTGATCGCGAAAGTAGATACGGGATCAGATTCCACCTTCTTAAATAAAAACATTTTTCACAATAAATTACTATTCACTTCCCAAGATATTATTTCTGTTGAAGGCAATTTGAACTTTCTGAGTCATTCAGTAAAGAGATTGGGTAAAACACCAGCTATCAAGATAAGATATCTTAATGACATTGCATTTGATCACTCGTTTGAGCTATCCAATTTTATTCAGGACCTAGGCGATTTTGATGTGCTACTGGGTGTAGACACATTGAGTCGACTTAGAATTGGGCTAACTGGCGTTGCTCACAAGTTTGCTGATATTGGACATCTTACAGAGGAAGAGAAATCAGAGCTTCTTGAAAGCATCGATTTCGAAAATGTCAATTTTGATACTAAACATTCTATTGATCCAGAAACCGCATCAATCTTTGAATCCCAAGCTGAGGAGAATAAGTATATGAGCAACATCCAAGATGCTATTGATGAGAATCAGAGAATCAAGCCTGGAACGTTTTGTAACGTGCCTGAATCTGAGATCACTATACCAATCAAGGAGAATGTTGATTACTACGTCAAGCAATATCCGATCGCACATCATGCAATGCCCGAAATCGAAAAGCAATTGAATGAATGGCTGGATGCAGGAATTGTAGAACAGTGTAGACCTAACGGCTTATTCAACAGCCCTCTCATTGCAGTATCAAAGAAGGACAATGATGGCAAACCCACCAAAACTCGAGTTTGTATGGATGTGCGGAGGATCAACCAGCATATGCCCAACAATACAAACCAATTTGAGATACCAAATATACAGGATATCTTCACCCGGATCAAGCAGAAGGGGACAATATTTTCGAAAATCGATCTGAAAAACGCATATTTTTCATTTAGAATTTCTGACATATCAAGAAATGTGCTTTTGTTCAATTTTAGAGGAAAATCGTATAGATGGTTAGGCTGCTGTTTCGGGTTGCGCCCAATCACATCTGTCTTTAGCTCTGTCATGAACATTTTGTTTTCTGATATGCCCAACGTGGAGGTCTATGTGGACGACCTATGCCTCGTATCTTCATCCTTATCCAGTCATTGCGAATTGATTAAGGAGGTGCTGAGACGCTTGACACATGCCAACTTAAAGATTGGTGTTGAAAAGTGCTCCTGGTTTCGATCTAGCATCTACTTGCTAGGCTTTGTAGTTGGTCCTCATGTTTCCAAGGTTGACATGCGACGTCTCTCTGACATTGATCATTGGGGTCCATGCAAATCTGCCAAACAGGTTAAACAACTAGCTGGTGTTATTTCATATTTGAGACCACACATCCCAAATCTGTCAAAACTGATGGCGCCTATTGATGCTCTACGAAATGATCCAGATGCTGGTAGCAAATGGACTGAGGAGCACACCAAACGACTTGAGATTATCAAGAAGGTCTTGTTATCTGAAGCTTTACTGACTGCACCAGACATGAATAAGAAATTTTATCTTGAATGTGATGCTAGCTTATATGCAGTTGCAGTCATTTTGACGCAGCGCGACGATCAAGGACGCACAGTCTATGTGGCGATGTTGAGCAAATCTCTGACCAAATCCCAACAGAACTGGCCTGTCCTGAGACGAGAACTGTATGCCGTGTTATTCGGTTTAGTTCGTTTGCGACCCTTATTGTACGGGCATCCTGAGATTGAGGTTATGACAGATCATCGAGCTCTGATTTATATCTACACATGTAAATGTCCTACTAGAGTCATTCAAAATTACATGGAGATTTTAAACGAGTATCCCCAACTGCAATTCACTCATATCAAGGGCTTAGACAACATCTTACCTGACAAACTTAGTCGCTTGTATGAACCTTTAGAAGATCATACAGAGCTGGCGGGAGACAGTGATAAGAAAATTGCTAAATTACAAAAGAATATCATGAGAAGCAAAGGCTCCAAGAAACGATTCATTGGCAACAATAAGCAAACAAAGCATTATCTAACCAAGAACAACGTAGTCTATAATAAAGACAAGCACTTGAATGTACTTGCTATGAAGATCAAGGAGGGCAATTATGAAAGCGTTGCTTACATTGCACCACCTGACAATGAGAGAGACCAACTGCTTCGTGAAACTCATGAATTTGGACACTTTGGTGCCACTAGTATTGTCAAGAAACTACATGAAGAAGGTATTCATTGGACAGGTCTATATGATGATGCAAAGGCAATTTGTCAATCATGTATGGAATGTGCAAGGCATAATGTAGTTCAAAAGGGTTACCATGAACTGAGAAACGTTGTAGCGTATGGTCCATTTGATCACATAGGCATTGACTTTCTTGGTCCGTTAACTCCAACCAACAATGGCAATATATATATATTAGTTGTATACGACATTTGCACCAGATTTATTATAACTCGTGCATTGCCCAACAAACAAACCGATACTGTCGCTAGAGCTCTGACTACCATCTTTGGAGACTTTGGCGTAGTACAAATACTACAATCTGATAATGGACGTGAATTCAAGAGTGCTTTGATGAGCGAGATCGGTAAAGCACTTGGCATCAATCAAAGATACTCTACGGCTTTCCACGCTAGGGGCAATGGTGCATCCGAATCAGGTGTTAAAAATATTCTTAATGCACTTCGTAAGATGGTCAGTGAACACATCTATGACTGGGACTCGGTTCTACCTGGAACTCAACTGGCTATAAACACAAAAATTAGGTATCGCACTGAGAGTGCACCTTTTCAATTGATGTTTGCTAGACCATTGAATAGATTCGTAGACTACGATGATCCTAAGATCAAGGACAACTTACCAAAGAAGCCAATGACTCTCGGTGAGCTACGCAAGAAGGCAGAGATTATGAACCAGGTTGTCTTTCCAGCTATTAACCAAAGAACACAACGCATTATTGAAGAGCAAGCAACGCGATTCAATAAGCATCACAAGATTACACACTTCAAAGTTGGTGATTGGGTTATGGTAAGACTTCCGCATAGAGAAAGCAAACTTGAGGCCGCTTATGATGGACCTTATCAAGTTGTTCAAAAGAAAAGATCTACATATGTGTTGAAAGACGATATGAATGAACTACTACATCGCGACTATGTGCCATCTGAATTGAAGCTGGTAGCAATCGACGAGTCTATCATCGAACAAGAAGTATATGAGGTTGACGAGATCAGAGCGCATCGTGGTCCTGAACACAATAGAGAGTATTTGGTAAAATGGAAGACATTTGGAGAAGCTGCCAACTCCTGGGAAACTGCTGCATCGTTCAACAACCCTCAAACCATTCGTAAGTACTGGGCAAAGATCAAGGAATATGAGCTGCTTGAGAAGAGAAGACAGGCACTAAATAGTGACACTGCTTCCTCCAAATCAAAGCGTAAGCGTGATGATTCTGACAAGCGTTTGAGAGGCTCTAAGAGACTCAACGTTGCAGAACAGTAAAGTGATGTTTGTCATGGGATATATCAGGGCAACATGCAAATTGCAGTAGCACCTTTAGACTATCACATTGCGTTATATCTTTGTCAGCGAATGCGAAATACAGATCATTGATCGTTTACATAATTCTTTGAATTAGTCAACATGCGTTGAAACTGGTGGGGGCAAATGTGGAATACATCCACTATGATCTGCATTCCGACAGTTCATCCAGTTACCAGATTTAGATATAAACTGTATGTACACTGGATTAGATGTACGATATCGATTTATACTATGATCATGAGAAGATATGGACTTCAGATACGCTAGTACTATAAGATTCATACTATATAAGATATAGGCTATAGATGGCACCACGGACATGGATGGCACTATAGACTTATACTTGTATTCCGACATTAACTACGGATGTTTACCATATCTGGATAGGCACCAAGATTAATGCAATATGAGCTTGTTGCTTCAGATGTGCACTTCATGATCCACGCTATAAGACACATGCTTATATCCGTGATACTAGCTACAGATACTTTATGTACTACAGACTTGTACTATATATGAGACATGCTATAGACATGCATACGATATGCTATAGACATGCCATATATCCAGATACATGCTAAAGATGTATGCTTAGCGATATACACTCAGATATGTACTATTAATATAGACTAAGAAGACTGTACCTATCGGATACATGCTACTAGATCGATATTAATTATCCTTATGGAAAGGATAGATCAGGGTACTTCGGATGAGAGTCTAATTATTCATCCAGACAGAGCTAAATCATGATTAGCTTGCTGGAGTTGTCTTTTAGCATGATTAGACATTAGTTGATCTGAGTTGACTTATTTGTCAATCTAATTAATAGAACTTTTATCCATTGTTATAGTATATAAGAAGGATCATCTACCTGGCCAGTAGAGAGACTTCAGTTTACTTTACACCTGTCAGTTTGATAATAAAATATACCTTTATCAAGTTGACATTACTGTTTTTTTATTCTTTTTTTTCCGTGAATTTTAGTCTGTAAAGCCTCAAATTCCACAACTAGCACCAGTATCAACAGAACGCAAAAGATTCGGTAAGGAGTTGATATACAACGAATACAAATGAGGACTGAGTACTGAGCCTTGAAGTATACCAGTAACAGGAGAGAAAGCAGCAGAGATATGATTAGCAATCAGGACTGAGACTGAGACATCGTCAAACATGTTCATCAAAAGACCCAGAACAGGACGAGGAAGTGTAGAACCAGACAGGGCTTGCCATATAACCCTACGATCGACAGTATCATAAGCTGACTTGATATCCAAGAAAGCCACCACAGGATAGCGACGGTGAGTCAGAAAGTAAACATGCAACAAATCATGCAAGCAGAGGGCTTGATCCAGAGGACTACGTTGAGGACGGAAGCCACCTTGAGCAATATCCAGAGCAGGGGAGTGTTCATCCAGAGCCGGCAGGAGACAGAACTCAAACAACTTACGCACCACCGAAGTGAGCGAAATTGGTCGATAATTACCAGGATCGGAAGCATCACCCTTCTTGCAAATCGGAAACACCTGAGCTTGGCGCCATAAACCAGGAGTATAAGACCATTGATAGCAGAGGTGAAACAGCAGAGAGAGCACTGGGGCAATTTCTGAGGTCAGAGCTTTTAACATCTCAGCCTTGATGTGGTCAGGACCAGGAGCTTTATGCGTCGGCAGACGTTTAATACACAGTACCAAGGTATCAGTATCAAACAAAGACATGTCCGCAGGGAGACAGAAAGGCAAGTCAGAGACCATAGGAGTGACAGGAGCAGGACGAGAAGCAGTATTTAACAGAGCACCTTCGTAGACCGTAGCCAAATGAGAGCCCATAGTAGCAACAGAAGCAGCAGGACCATCTGGGTGACTGTACGTAGGTGAAGACTCTTTATTGCGCTTGATGCGTTTTATAGCAGCAGTAGCTTTTGAGAAGTCTCTTTCCAGAGCACCACAGAACTTATGCCAGGACTTGCGCTTAGCAGACTGTACCAAAGAGCGAAAACGGCGATGAGCTTGCTTGTATAAGACCCAACAATCAATCTTAGTATACCCAAGGGCATACCGCCATCGACTGTAGAGACGATCCCGTTCAGTAGCCGCGTCTTGGATCTCTTGCGTCCAGTATTTCTTCCAATGGCCAGGACGGCCAGACTTCACACCTATTGAGCTATCCAAACATTCATACAAACATTGGTTCAAAGAACCGTTGAGTGCATCAATGTCGGGACGAGTACCAGGAGGAGCAGACACCAAACCAGAGAGAGTAACAACCAGAGGAGCAACAGAAGATCGAAAGGATTCACGGAGTAGGCCCAAAGGCCTCTCTTTCGTCAATTTCGAGAGCTTCCATTGCCGCCTAGGAGCCAGAACAGAATCACCAGGAGCCACAGTGTCATCAAGAGGTGGCACATACTCGAAAGTAAGTGACATCAATCGATGGTCAGAACCAAGAGACAGATCAGACTCAACCACCAGTTGAGGGTTCACCAAAGCAACATCACCAATATTTGTCAGAAACAGATCGATAATACTACTCAATTCTTGCTGCTGCCGAAAAGAAGAGTAAGTCTTAACACCAAAAGCCAAAGACGCATTAAGCACAGATAAGCAATGTTCGTCAAACCAAGGTTTGAGAGCATTACCACGAGCATTGGAGATAACATCACCAGTCAGAGGACCCAACCGAGCATTGAAATCACCGCAGAGAATAGTATCCCTAGTCATAGGTAATGAGCTGAGGGCCGAGAGCACCTTATCAGAGGATAAGGGTGGAGGAAAGTAAACACAATGAACCGTTAGGGTGCCAACTTTGAGAGACAGAGTGTGCGGATTGTATGAAGGGAGTTGGAAGACCGTAAAGGGGCAAGAAGGAGAGACAAAAGCAGTGATACCACCAGAACCACGGTTGAAAGCACCAGGTACTTTTGAACCATACAAGTGATATTGAGACCAGTCAATCGGATAGGAACCAGAAGTGAGCCAAGTTTCAGTGACAAACAGAACATGAGTATCAACAATATGAGAAATAACATCATGAACTGTTGTTTGACGAAGACCATTCGCATTCCAAAGAGAGAGAGAGACAAAAACTGGGGGGACAGACACATTATTCAAATTACCAGACCATGATTCATTGTTAAGAGACATTAGATCTCCATTTCAGAATCAGTAGAAGTATCACGGCGACGCTTGAACAAGAAAGCAGCCTTTTTAGGGTCTTTTTCCTGTAGTCGGTCCATAGCACCAGCAACAGCCTCGTCCAGTTCGGCTTGACCTATCCATCCAAGATCCAGGAACCAACGGCCAACACTACTCACATTAAGTGGGCGGATATGGGACAGAGCATCTACGCTGCGAGCATTGACCATCTCAGCAATAAGATCCATTCGATCGTGTTCAGAGTAGGCATCGTACTTTGGGTCGGCAATATTAGCAGGATTCAACGGGTCAAAATCCTCCAATATTTCCGATTCACTTGCACGGAGCAGAGCCAAGAATTCAGCAACATATTGGGTATGCAAGAGAATACCAATAGCTTCGGAGGCAGGGAAGTTGATGTCGAGGATACGAGAAGTATCCACCCCAATGGCCTTGAGAGTGCGTCGAATTTCAGAGCGTAAGATCTTACCAGATCTACCAATATATACATATTGATATCCTTGGGGACCCTTAGTAGCAGACGTTTTGAAGAGACGACCGGCAGCCAACTTTCTCTTAGTAGCTTTAGTTGGATCAGGGCGATGTGCAGCCTTCTTAGCTATAGCAGAATAGCTAATAGTACCAGAATCAGTGGTGGCAGTAGCAGAGGTGGTGGATCCAGATGCCCCTTTGATGGGGGTGCTTGTAACAGAATCCTGTGACGTGGCTTGCAATTTTTCAATGACCAGATCCTTGTCGTGTAAAATTTTTTTCAAGGCTTGGTTTTCCTTTTCCAAAGCATCGAGACGAGCCAAAATACCATCATGTTGATTAACACGTTCAGAGAGTGAGGCAAGTTGTTGTTGTAACTGTTGCATGATAACAGTAACCTGATTCATATCAGTTGGGTGCTGAAACTCGGGCATATTGCTGATTATTTTTTAGAAATTGTTGAGGATCCAAAAAAATATGAAGGAGGTGTTCAATAAACTTGAAACTATAACACAATAGACAGAGACTAAAGGCAAGTATACTGGTATAGTTTTGGAGTTGATTGAGTTGCTGATTGTTGGGAAAATAGCGTTTTTCGTGATTCTAAGGAGACTTTTTACGGAGAGGGTGGCAAAAAGTGATGAAAAACGGAAAGAGATGCCTAGCTAGCTCAGTTTAATATTGGATTTTATTTATTTACAATTGTAGTCAACTGCGCAATCGGTATGATCATATGTTGCAAGACTAACAGTGATTCGGCGGGAAAAAGCATGTTTTAAATTAAAGGTTGAGGGAAGCTGCTAAAGGGAGGGGACCAGTAATGAAAACGGCATCAAAACCCACCAGAGAAGAGGAGAAACAGAAGGAAGAATGGCAATGGCCGCGCCGCAAGACGGGGGAGACGAACAGGACTCAAGGTAGAAACCGGCCAGACGCACCGCAGCACACCTAAACGTGCAAGCACAAATACCGAGTAACATGCCAGGTTAGAAAGGCGGAAAATATGGATGCGAAGGTGGGATTCGAACCCACGACCTCTCGGCATACTCACTGCTTCCGCATGAAGCTCTAACCAAGTGAGCCATTCAAGCATCCATGCCTAGCTAGCTCAGGCGAAAATTTATGGTTGTTTATTGATTACAATGAATTAGCAATGTAAAAAATATAGACTTATATGCATGCGATCTTTGGATCATTAGTTGCAAGTCCTGAGAAGCGACGTACAGCAAAAAAGCTTAAATTGATAGTTTGATCTCCATGCAGGAACAACATGCAAGTGTCCAGAAAAGGGAAAGGTCCTAAACTAAAAATTAAACTGGTAAAAAAGAAGTACAGGCAGGAAAAAGGAGTAAAACAAGTGAGATAAAAGGGTAGAGAATAAGAAGCTATGGTGTATGAGACATGCAATTGAGGATACCTCGATGTTCAGACAGCAGCACAGACAAAATAAACCCACAGACCTCAGTGGCACAAAAAAAGCAAGAAAAAAAAGGAGAAAACGAGGCATTTGCATATAGCAAAATGAGTAGAGAGACAAAGACCAAACGAGAAAGAAGCAGAGAAGGAGGACAAAGTGAATACAGACACTACCACAAAGGCAGCAGAAACAGAAACAATGAGAGTGGGGATGAGAGAGCAAAACGATTTTAACAGCAAGGTGTCAATCAGTTATCAGAAGGCTCTGACATTTCAAGATCCTTGGTAGCAGAGAGAGTGGGGGAGACAGCATAAGCCAAGAGAGAGGCAGTTTCAGCATCATGATGCAAGAGGTAGCCAAGATAACTCAAACGTTGTTTCTTGGCTAAACGCTCTTGATCAGAGGATCGGGATGGTGGTTTAGCAGCAGCAGAGGAGGAGGAACGAGCAAGCAATTCTTCTTTCAAAATGGCATCAAATTGGGCTTGGTTGATGCGATCATACAAAAGAAAAGAACGAGCAACAGAAACACGGACAGAGCGACGGACAAAAGACAGCGAACGAAGGCAGCGAAGGTTTTCGACCTCAATGGCCTTTTGGACACGCAGATCAGGAGAGAGAGAAGCAAATTTGGGATCTTTGAGATTGACTGGATCACATGGATCAAAGTCAATCAACGGAGAAGAGCCACGACCATGTAGATGCATGGCTTTGGTGAGGGTGAGAACATAGTCGTTGTGAACAAGGAAAGAAATCACATTCTGTACAGGATATTGAATATCCAGCACACGAGAGTTATTCAATCCTACGCCTTGAACAAGGCGACGCAGCTCAGAAAGACGACGGCGGACAGGAGTAGCATAGTACACAAATTGATAACCAGATGGTATATCACTTTGAGGAGCAAAAAGACGAGCAAGAGTAGCGGATGCCTTGGTGGCAGATGGAGGAGGACGAGCAGCAGGCTTCTTCTTACGCTTTGCACCTGTATTGGATGCAACGACGGCAGCAAAAGATGGTTGCGCTGTCACTTGAGATTGGGAGTAGCTGGGGGTAGACTTGGAGGCAGATGTTGTTGATGGTGGTGTTGGAGTGTTCGACGATACAACGTCTATGGTGGTGGGAGCAACATTGGTGGTGGATTGAACGTTGATAGCTGCCAATTGAGCCGCAAGGGCGTCTCTAGCAGCCTCGGATTCAGCCAGGGCTGTTTTCAACTGCGCAATTTCAGCATGGGCAGATTCTAATCTGCTCAAACGATGTCTGACCTCAACCATAAAGGTCGACAACGCAGTTTGATCAGTGGGCGAAGCAGGTGGGAGGGAAGTGAGACCAAAGTCAATCGAGTTGGGGTCAACATCGATCGAGGATGTGAAATAAGATGCTTTGGAGAGGTCTTGAGGTTGCATTTTCTTTGCTTTTAAATGTTGAGAGATATCAGCAGCAAAGAAAGGTGGAGAGAGGGTTGAAATGGGCCTTTTTTGACCGGACGAAAGGGTGTCAGCAGGTGTAATCTTGTTAAAAGTGTTTTGCTCGGTTATGGTATTGATATAGCAAGTACTTGATGAGAGATGATGGGTTATAGGAATCTTCGATATAATTCGGGCTATGAAAGTATATAAAAAATTCTTTAGCGGAAAGAAAGGTGCCTAGCTAGCTCAGTTTAAGATTGGTTTTTATTTATATGAAATTTAGTGGGCACTCGATGGGAACATAGCCTAATTTCAAGAACAAATATAGAACAAGTAACTAAAAAAATCCTCCAGAGCACTTTCAAAAGGACAAAAAATGCAGTGACAAGAGTGCAGGACATGGAGACTAGTGGTGCTCACATTGAGGATCTCGAGGGACAACCAACGGATGGGAACTTTGATAATGACTTACCACCGAGGAGCCGCACGTAGAAAACAACAATGGAACATGTTCATCCCTGTCAGATCAACCAGTACGAGAGTACCAAAGAGACGCTGGATCTGGATCCGGAGCAATGACAGCCAGAGGATGCACAAGGCAATCGATAGCATACAGTAGGTTCAGTAGAGCAGACCAGTAAGCAGGAGGACCAGCAGAGGCAGTGGTTGGCAGGCAATTAAGAGCATGGTCAATACGGTGCACACCAGGTGGAGCAGGCGGCAAGGCATCGATCAAGTCAGGATCAAGAGCACGACAGTACAAAAAGTGATCACGAGAGATGTGAACACCTGCAGGTGACATACATGGGCACTCCTCACGCATGTTTGTGAAGCGACCAAGGCGCCAACGGACCAAACGACTTCGAGCAATACGACCAAGAGGCAGGTAAAGTATGGGATCAGGCCTCATGGTGTCAGGACGACAAGCACGAAGCAAAGTATGACGACCAGTGACAGTAGCAGCAGAGAGTTGGAGATCAACCTGATCTTGCCAATAAGCAGCAAAGGTAGTACGCAAGCCAGCAGAAGAAGGAACAGGGACAGGCAGCGACTGATACAGAGGGTTTTCACATATAAAACGATCCAACCTTGTATAGTGCAAATGGGCACGAAGTAGAACCAGCAGACAATCGTCAGGCAGAGTATCAGCACGCAGAGCAAAACGGGTAGCCAGGACATTGTAGCGATGTTTGATACTGGGAAGACAGGTAATGTGCTTGGCGACATTGACCCAAGTACTACCCACAAACATGCCAACAAGTCGGT